AAAATGTTTGAGCTTTTATTTTACTTTCGAGTTTTATTATATCTGACTGTCATTATGAAAATCTAATGCAATTTGGAAACCAACTCTGCATTAAAAGATTAAAGGGACTGTGTCAAGCATAAATTTTCTTTTTAAATATTTCCATGCTAGTAGCTCATTCTGGTTGATTCCAATTAAGTTATAACATCCTGTTGCCTTATTGTATATTTTATATTTTTCCTGTGTTTAACACCTTGTTTTTGGTCCATTTGTTAGTAAACTGATTTGTTTTCAGGTTATACCATGACTGCTCTACTAGACCAGGTGATCAGCAGTATGATACTAAGCATGTCCAAACTGATTAAATAAGGAATTAATTTTCACAGAGGTGTGGAAAGAAAAAGAAAAAGTACAAGATCAATAATGAAAAATCAAAAAATAAATTTGGTTACCAAGATAGAAATAGAGCTGTTAAAACAATACTTTGTGTTCACTGAAGCAGGAGCTAAATCCGCTAAAGCTGTGGAAGTAATTAATGCAAGAATAAGTACTGCCAGCAGATGGCAATGGGGTAAAACAACTATTTTGTCTGTTTGTGTCCTGTGCACTAATTCTGGGACTCCTACAAGTTGGACGTGTCTGGAACACCTGCCAAAAGGAAGAGGGTATCAGGAACAGACGTCTGAGCCGCCTCAGCTGACTCCTCTCAATGTGGAGGTGAAGCCGCTCTATTCCAAGCCTCTTTGGGTTGGCTGAGAGATAATAATCCTTCCACGGCTCAGCATTCTGATTTCTCACCTACTCATCACTCATACTCGAGAATAAACCTTTTTTCTGATTGACTTAGTCTTAGTCAATTTTTCTGTCATTTTTAACACACAGAGTGTATACAAAATTAAATTTCATTTTGTACTGCTTTCATGACATTTCCATTTCTTAAAGTGCAGAAGTGATCAAATTTAAACATTCCGTAAAAGTTCAAAAAATATCCTCTGGACTTGGTCTCCAAGATTTGAAGACGTTTCGCCACCTCTCCAGGAAGCTTTCTCAATTCAAATGTCTGGATCCGCAGTGAGTTTGAGTCTTATATAGGCAAAGCCTTGTATCGCTTGGAAACATGCAAATTGTAACCGATGAATGGTTTTGGGGAAGAAACTTTTTTGGGATCTGCTGGACCTGCATCGGATGCTGTGAAGCCTCTTCCAGAGGGTAGCAGGGACAACAGTCCATGGTGGGGGGGTGAGGGGTCACTGATAATGTTACAAGCTCGGGACACGCAGCGCTCGAATGAAATGTCTTTAATGTAGGGAAGAGGAGCCCCAATGATCCTCTCTGCTGTTCTCACCACTCTTCCCAACTTCTTCCAGTCTGAGGCGCTGCAGCCTCCACAGTGAGACAGCTGGTCAGAACGCTCTCTATGGTGCTTCTGTAGAAGGTGGTGATGATGGGTGGGGGCAGATGGGCTCTTCTCATCCTCCGCAGAAAGTAGATGCGCTTTTGTGCCCTTTTGACCATGGAGATGTTGTGTACAGTCCAGGTGAGGTTGTCTGTGAGGACAGCAGGATAAACTCCATCTTCAACAAATTTGCAGTATCATAGCATTGTTATCTCTCTCATGCAGTGGTGGTTGTAGGATATTTTTACCAGGGTGGCTAAGGGATTTCCAGAGGGGGTCACATGAGCATGGTGCCTGACCAGTGGGGGTTCCAGAACATTTTCATAGGGGTGGTCAGGCAAACTCGATAGGCACCAAAACATCTTATGGTCAAACTAAACTGACAGGAAAATGAACACGCAAATTAATCACTGAAGGCAGACTCAATTTTCAGTCAGGTCCTTGCTGATAAAGCCATGTGCATATTTATACATTAGTGCATTTAAAATAAATGTATGGTTCTAGATAATTTATATAAATGTTTTTAACTTCCTAGATGACTATAGGGATAAACTCTCACCTATAAAAAAAAACTAATTTATAAAAGAGCAAATGTTCAGTATTAGTCCTCTTTATTCATATATATTGTTGTGAATGATTTTTTTTATTCAGTTTTTGGTTAATATACCAGCGTTTAAATGTAGAATTGAGAAACATAGGTGTATCACTGCTGCCACCTTTAGGCTTAGAGAACTGCTTGTTACAGGGGGATTTAATGAAATACCAGGGAGAGAAAAAAAAAGCCCCTGGTAGGGGTGACCACAGTGGTGGCCAATGATTGGCCAATGGTGGCCATGGCCCCCTCTGGCCCCCACTCTACATTCACCCCTAATGGTACCTTCATGGTGGAAAGACTCACTGTTTAGAAAACTCTAATTTTTCTTAACCTGAAACATGGGAAACTCTGAGTTTTCCGTTTCACAAAGAGAGTTTCCTCAACCTCTGTTTCAGTCACCATAGTAACATTCTCCAAAGAGCTAACCTCTTCAGGAGATAGTTTGTTTAGTAAAATAGGAGTGTCCTTTGTCTCCGCTCTCCTTAGAGACATCCTGCATTTAAAAATAACTGTAAGAAGACGGTCACAGGAGGCTGAAGAAGTCCTGCAAGGTTGAATGAGGCTACAGACAGGGATGAACTGTGACAGCCACATGGAAAGACTGAGTGTGAGACTGACTACACAAACTTCTGTGTAGATAAAATCATCCCTACCAGGATAGTGAAATGCTCCCCAAATAAAAAAGCATGGATCATAAAGTGATCTAAAGAAATTGCTTAGAAAAACAAATAAACAAGCCTTTAAGAAGGGAGACAGGGAATTAATGTTTACAGAAGCAACTTAAGGTCAAGATAAGAAAAAGCAAGGAGGCATACAGGAAAAGGCTGGAAAACAAGCTCCAGCAGAACAATTTAAGGGTTGTGTGGTAAAGGGATGAAGGAGTTCACAAGCTTCAAGCAGCAGGACTATCAGACAGATGGGAGTCTGGACAGAGCAAATGAACTGAATACTTTCTTTTACAGGTTGAGCTCAGGAACAAGCTAAGCATCCCTCTCTATTATCCACAGTCACATGGACATCCTGCCCTCCTCTGCCATCGACTCTCCTGCTTCTATTAGCTACTTTTTCCTTTCTATCAGCTGGAACCAGTCTGGCCATTCCCATCTGATCACTAGCATCACCAAAGCATATGTGCCCACAGAATTGCCAACTCACTGGATATTTTCTCTTTTTCTGACCACTCTTTGTACAACCTTGAGATGACTATGAGTGACAAATCCTAGTAGATCAGCGGCTTCTGAAATAATCTGACCAACCCATCTGGCACCAACAACCATTCAAAGTCAATTTCTTCCAATAGTGGATCACCTTTGTTTTACCTGAGGAACATAATGAACAGTAGAAAGAAAACTGGGCACAGATATTTTTCTGCTTACTAAAGATTCAGCCTTTGACAAATCTATTTTCATGTGTAATGAACACTTCAGATTAAACCAAAAAATACACTAGAAATCATTTTTGCGTTTTTCTTCCAAGATTTTTCAAATCCATATTCCAAAATAAATAACTAATGCCAAACCAAATACCGACCTATTTAATTAATTTGAATTTAATTTCAAATGTGAACATTTCAGTAACATAATTCACCATGTTAAACACATTATAAGTAATAAATAACACAGACTTGTGTTTTTAAGCGTATACTTGGTATCTCTGATCATTTTCTCTGATCACAGCTCAAAAACATTGGTAATTCAGAAATGTGGGTCCAGGGAAAAGAATCTTAAATAAAGTTTTTGTTTTTGGTTGTTTTCACTCAATAGAGCATCAGAAATACATTTTCTAATCCATTGAATATATTGTTGCGCATGAACTACAATTTCTAGACCTATTTTAAAGCAAAAACAATAAAAAATATTTTATATTTGCTGTATCTTGTATTGTGTGTATATTTGCAAGCACAAGTTATGATGTTGCTGTCTGTGGAAGCAATGTGATTTGCTTTTTAGAAGACCTTACTCTTACCCCCTACTCCACAAAATGCTACTGGCACCAGGGTGGATTTTCCTTCCGGCAATACTACGCAGTTGCCTAGGGCCCCAAGTTCCTGGGGGGGCAGAACACTCTGTTTACATGTATGGTTAATACAACTATTCCTTATTTTTCATAAAAATCTTTTCGCTAAGATGGTGTCCACCATATTGGATCAGTCCATTTGCTGCACATGTTCAGAAAGGTCTAAACAGACAGCAGCAAACCATTTAGAAAACAAATGGTGCAAGAGCAGTGAGTTTTTTCTGCTACTGAAGACTTTGGAAACAACATATAAAAGCACCAAACTCTGCTCTCCAGAGCAAGTAGATTGGTAACCCCGCCTCCTGCTCTCCTCTATCTTGTCTGCTGTCATGATTCATGCAGCTATTATTTCATCCAAATGAAAAATGGAGAACAGATAAGCAGATCATGGCTTGTCTACAGTGAAAATAAGGACTGGGTTATTTACTTTTGCCGTCACCTTTTTGGAAACACAGGAAGGAGCAATCAGCTAAGTGAGCTTAGTGCTTGGAAAAAATCTTTCATTCCTTTTGAGACAGCATGAAAAGTCAGCTGAGTACAGAACATAGAGGAAAACAATAAGAAAAGGGACAAGAAGAGAGAGACAAAACCTAGAACAAATAATGGATGTCTATTCTATTAACATTTCTCTATCTGTCTAATGGGTCTGTTTTATGTGTTGTCTTCTCAACTCAGAGAGCCCCCTGCCTATTTTTTGCCTAGGGCCCAAAATTTCCAAACTCTGTCCGTGCCTGGAACGTAGGGTAAAGATTTTACATTTTGTAGTCTGTATCAGTGGGGAAATTATTGCCAAAATGACATTTTCTCTATCTTTGTTTTGGGGGCTCCGTTTTTGAGTCTGTGTCGCAGAAGAGTGGAAAATGAAGATGTCAGTGGGATTTACAGCCCATGGTTTCACCCAGACGCCCCAGAGATGGAGTGATGGTGCTACGAAGCGATGGTGGATTATAGCTTCTGTCACCCACCTTTTCAGTGTGGGCGTTGTTTAAAACTCCTAAACTACGGAGGCGTTATGATCACTTATGCAGCACATTTTGCTTCTTATTGGTTGAAGGACAGAAGTGGCTCAGATGACACGGGTGAGGCTCCGCAGATAAAAAAGAAGGCGAGGCGGAAGGAGCCAGCGTAGAACGGAGGACAGAGAGACGTTAAAAGTATCTGTCCAGCTTCTGAGGTAGTGACTTTCCATTTCATTCATTTTCTCATAATCGAAACTTTTATTGAAACCACTTTTATTATTATTTATTTATTCCATTACTTATCAAATATTAAGAGAGTGTTGTGCTCGATTACGCACAGCGCAACGATCCAAAAATAACTAAATACATTATAATTTAAAAAAGAAAATATGTGCATTGTTTTAAAAACCTCCATGTTTAAAGGTGGAGGTTCCGATTGAGTCTCTAAATCCTGGAAATGAACCGTTTGCTGCCTTGTCTTTGGTTTGCGTGCGCTCAGGAACCTGCGGAAGTATGGAGTGGTTCGTCCTGGTGTTGATGCTGAGCCTACCGCCCTGCATCCACACAGAGTGCTCCTCACAGTGCCAGAGATGTGCCGAACAAATGCTGCGCCCTGACGCCGCCTTCAGCAGTCTGGTAGGAGAAAAAAAAAAGCGAACCAGTCGTTTTATTCATGTTTCATTTTAACCATAGAAGCCGAAGTAATAATTGGAGTTAAAGCAAACTTTTTTTTTTTATTCGGTCCATTAAATATAAAAACAGAAGTAATAAAATGTGCCTTCATATAGCCTATGGCCGAACCTTTTTTGTTGAACTCTTTGAGTTTAGAAAACTAAATGGTAAAAGGTGCGTGGTGTTTGCGCGCATAGGTCAGGCTCAGCTGCCGTGTCACACGGGTCTCTGTGTGTCATCCACAGCCTTGCAGCGCGGAGTGTGATGAGGAGGAGATGGAGAGCTGCGCTCTGGCTCCACGGCTCGCCGACTTCACCGAGGATCAGGCGGCGGAGGCGGAGGAGAGTCAGCAGGCAGAGCTGGTCAAGCGCTACGGCGGGTTTATCAAACGCATCGACAAGAACAAAGTGTTCACCTTCTCCCCGTGGCGCGAAAACTCCGTCCTAAAGACCGTGGCCCTTCCCGGGAACTACGAGGAGCTCCTAAAGCGGCTGGAGGTGAGAGGCGCGCCGGCGGCGGAGGAGCCCATCCCACACAGTTACGATAAGCGCTACGGAGGCTTTTTACGCAAATTCGGCCCAAAGTCAAAGAGGAGAAGTTCCGCGGAGGATGACAGTCAAGAGCCGGAGGAGCTCCAGAAGCGCTACGGGGGCTTCATGCGGAGGGTCCGGCCGAAGCTTAATAACCTGAAATGGGACAAACGTTACGGAGGCTACCTGCGGCGCCACTTCAAGTTCTCCGTCCGCTCCGCGGAGGAGCCCTACTCCTCCTCTGCGGAGTTTAGCTTATAGGAAACAACTCACACCGATTCAATGTAAAAACCTGTCCCTGCCCTTCCTGCTCATTCCCGGCTTTTCACACGCCAGAGTCTGCCAGTACATAAAAGATGCCTATTTATGACCGTCCCGTTTAGAGCTCAAACCTTCACAGCGCACAATTCGGACAGCTTTCCCACTTTTGGAAGTTTGGAGACATTTTCTCGCCGAGGTGAGAATAAGAATATGATCAGAAATTCGATAACAAAGAGCTGAACAACCAGTTTGAATAGAAAAGAAAGAAGTGACCACCCAAACGGATCATTTATTCAATTCTCTTTGCGCAATAAAACAACTGTTCCGAAATGTATTTGAAACCAAATGTTAGGATTTTCTCTTGTATCTTAATCCAATCAATTTAACTGCAGTTTGTGTTTTTGTAAGTAATTTTAAAATAAAAATGTCGACCTGACAACTGAAAATATTGACAAATCTGCTATGACAGCTTGGATCTGTAATGTAGAAGAAGAAAATTAAAAAACACGTCAGAGTCTGAGGGTGTTAGGTATCTGTCATTTTTTGCCTTGAAAAACACTGCTCTCCAAAATATGTCACATAATAAAGGGAAAATGCTTTTGTTCAATAAGCATAGTTCTTGCGCCACCTTGTGGGAAAATAGCGTATCGTTTGCTCCATTTTGGAGCAGTTTATTTCACATGAGATGGATAAAATTGAAAACTGAACTGTTTCAACACCTGTAACCGTTTGTTTGCCAAAATGCTTTGAAATATGCTCAAGACTTCCAGCTGACAAAACGTTGTAAAAAGAAATAAATGAACAGAAGACTAAAAAAATGTTTCTTTGAATTTCTTTCTGTGTACATTATAATCATGTAGATGTGAATTTTCAAATATTCTCCCTCAGTCTGATAAGTCTAGCCATCTGTTTGCCAACGTCACCATATGAGTCTGTTATTGATGTTTATTTTTGCTCTAATTATTTGCCTTTCTTTGATCAGCTGATAATTTTGGAAAAGAAAAAACATAAAAATGATTAATTATCTTATCTATAGGAATGTTCTTAAATAATATTCTCCTGTTGTGACCTGAAATAGATCCCAGTTAAGTCTGAAGCTTTGCTGTTTGAATTCCTCACCAGAAATTTCCAATAGTCCATCTGATCCAGAACCGGTTCAGCACCACAAAATGTCTAGAATGTCTTTATATAACCAGCAGTTAAAAATGAAGAGTATATGGACACCATTCCCAAGGTATGTGTTTAAGGCTATTTAACTTTTAAAATAGACAAAACAAAATAGCTTATTAGTCAGAGTGATTAAAATGGTCATTAAAAAAAAGTATTTATGCATCACAATCCCCAAAAGGGCTCTATCACTGTTTTTAATGTCATTAATTAATCTTTAACCACTTAAATAAAAAACAAGCAACACCCCATGATGTCACTGAGATATCAGCATGTTATTAAACTGAATTAGTTTTAAATGACAATAATTAATAAAAGGAGGCAGATAAGAGAGCTAAAACTAAGTGTATAAAAATTTTATTACATTCACTGCAACTTGTGGAATACAGATAGACAGACATGAGGGCTGTGCAAAATATTTCAATACAACACAACCAGGCCTAATTAACCAGAGGAAAATTGAAGATTGAAATTGAAATTTTTATATAAAAAAAAAATAAATACGAAAGTAACTTTATGAAATGCAAGCTCAGAGCAAATAGTCAGCTAGGTATTGTTTGCCTCAAGGTAGAAATCATCCTCCTACGTTCAAGGCAGGAGGGCCTACCTTGGAATTAGCAGCACATATAAAGCAGAGGGAAGGAGAGGCATTGGCCTACAATGTAGAGCCTTGCTAGACCGGGAACATAAAGCATGAAAACTGCTCTATGTAGAATTGCATTATGATCCTGAAGAATCACTTGACCACCAGTGAGCTGTTTCCCTTTGAAGGCACAAGAAAAAAAGAAAAAAAAAACCTCCCTGCTCATTTTCTATATGTAACAGCATCCATCAGTCCTGCAGCTCCATATTATCAGTGATTTCTTAGATGCTAATGTCAAGATGTTTCACAGGAACAGCAGCAAAAAACTACTAGTTACCCTAAAGTCGATGACAGCTTCAATTCAGACCATTTTTTAATTGTTATATATTTTTTTACATAAGTGGTGTCAGGTCCACCTGGTATATACAGGTGCTGGTCATAAAATTAGAATATCATGAAAAAGTAGATTGATTTCAGTAATTCCATTTAAAAAGTGAAACTTGTATATTATATTCATACATTACATACAAACTCATATATTTCAGATGTTTATTTTGTTTAATTTTGATGATTACAAATGACAACAAATGAAAATCTCAAATTCATCATATCAGAAAATTAGAATATTACTGAAGACCAATAAAAACAAAGGATTTATAGAAATGTTGGCCAACTGAAAAGTATGAACATGAAAAGTATGAGCATGTACAGCACTCAGTATTTAGTTGGGCCTCCTTTGGCCTGTATTACTGCAGCAATGCGGCGTGGCATGGAGTCGATCAGTCTGTGGCACTGCTCAGGTGTTATGATAGCCCAGGTTGCTCTAATAGTGGCTTTTAGCTCTTCTGAATTGTTGGGTCTGGTGTATTGCATCTTCTTCTTCACAATACCCCATAGATTTTCTATGGGGTTAAGGTCAGGAGAGTTTGCTGGCCAATTAAGAACAGGGATACCATGGTCCTTCAAGCAGGTACTGGTAGCTTTGGCACTGTGTGCAGGTGCCAAGTCCTGTTGGAAAATGAAATCTGCATCTCCAAAAAGTTGGTCAGCTGCAGGAAGCATGAAGTGCTCTAAAACTTCCTGGTATGTGGCTGCGTTGACCCTGGACCTCAGAAAACACAATGGACCAACACCAGCAGATGACATGGCACCCCAAACCATCACTGACTGTGGAAACTTTACACTGGACTTCAAGCAACGTGGATGAAGTGCCTCTCTTCTTTTCCTCCAGACTCTGGGACCTTGATTTCCAAAGGAAATGCAAAATTTACTTTCATCAGAGAACATGACTTTGGACCACTCACCAGCAGTCCAGTCCTGTTTCTCTTTAGCCCAGGCAAGACGCTTCTGACGCTGTCTGTGGTTCAAGAGTGGCTTGACACAAGGAATGCGACAGCAGAAACCCATGTCTTTCATACGTCTGTGTGTGGTGGTTCTTGAAGCACTCACTCCAGCTGCAGTCCACTCTTTGTGAATCTCCCCCACATTTTTGAATGGGTTTTGTTTCACAATCCTCTCCAGGGTGCGGTTATCTCTCTTGCTTGTACACTTTTTTCGACCACATCTTTTCCTTCCCTTCGCCTCTCTATTAATGTGCTTGGACACTGAGCTCTGTGAACAGCCAGCCTCTTTAGCGATGACCTTTTGTGTCTTGCCCTCCTTGTGCAAGGTGTCGATGGTCGTCTTTTGGACAACTGTCAAGTCAGCAGTCTTCCCCATGATTGTGTAGCCTATAGAACTAGACTGAAAGACCATTTAAAGGCTTTTGCAGGTGGTTTGAGTTAATTAGCTGATTAGAGTGTGGCACCAGGGGCCATCAATTTTGAACCTTTTCACAATATTCTAATTTTCTGATATGATGAATTTGAGATTTTCATTTGTTGTCATTTGTAATCATCAAAATTAAACAAAATAAACATCTGAAATATATGAGTTTGTATGTCATGTATGAATATAATATACAAGTTTCACTTTTTAAATGGAATTACTGAAATCAATCTACTTTTTCATGATATTCTAATTTTATGACCAGCACCTGTATGTTTTTCTAATCGATGACCTAAAGGTAAAGAGCTTGTTCTATGGTTTCTGCTGTTTACAGCTTTTGTTACAAAGATAAAAAGTTGAAGCAGGATCTTCTTAAACCAATAAATGTTGGCTGATTATCAACCAGCGATAGTTGCCTTTAGGTAGGCCTATCTAAAGATCTCTGATTTTATGTTATCAGCTGAATAATTATCTCATGACTATTCCAAAGATTCCTAAAGAAACAGGACATGGTGGAAACGGATCAATGAGTAGTTATGATTTCTTCTCACTTTCAATTTACTCATATTTCCTCTATAAAGAATATTTATAAAACATGCCATTTCAATGCACTTTACAGACACAATTTGATCAGTTGATCCAATCAAAGTGGTCGAGGATCTATCCCAACATGTTTATTGCACCCTTGTGCATCACTGCAGGATAAACTGCTCCTGGATCAGCATGTAGGCAGTAGACTATCGCTTGCATTGTGTCTTTTACTCTACAGCAATCCATTACACAGAGCATGCATAGAGCGACAGTGGAGAGAAAAACTCAATTTTAACAGGAAGATATCTGCAGTTCAACCACACTCGGTGTAAGCTGCCTTCTGCTGAGGCTGAATAACCTAATTAACCGTTTTCAACATGGAGTTTATTGTGCTTACATTGGTTGTGAAATGGCACCATGTAAATAAACTGAATTTGCCACTGTGTGGATTATCTTTTAGCTGTTTTCTCTAAAAATGTTTCATCTTTTGGAAAATAGCTTTAAAATTGGCTTGAAAAGAAGTACTGTTCCTCTCTGTAGTTAGAGCACAATCAAGGGTAAAATAATCTATCCAGTCCTCCATTATGGTGCGACAGTGGCGTTGGATGTAGGAGTTTGTCCTGAAATCAAAGGATTGACGGTTCAAGCTCTTACTTTCAGTGTCGTTGTGTCCTTGGGCAAGACACTTCACCTGTATTGTCTACTGATGGTGGTCAGAGGTAACCTGACCTCCACCTCCGCCAGATGAATTTGCTCCGCATATCCATCTGGAAACCTTCCATTCAGGTAATTTTGGGAAGGGGCGAAAAATACTGGTTAGCTAATTGGCCTATGTTGGTGATAGATGGGCCAAATAAACCAATCAGATCAACGAAGCATATGAAGTACTAACAGCGCGACGGGAAAAAACAACCAAAAGCCAGGCTACTCTTGCCGAAACCAGTCGGGAGAAGAGCAAAAACATCTTTTCCTTTGAGAAAAGCCTCCAGAGCAGTGTTTTGCTCTTATTTCAGTGAAGAAATACTCTATAATTCCAATAAAACTTCCTCGATAGCCACGCTAACGCTAGTTTCATCGGCTGAAGCCGGCATGTTCTTTAGACTGAATGGTCACGCTTCTCGTTGCGTCACACCTCAACCCGCCTCAAAGCCAACGCTGATTGGACGTTCGTTTGGTGAACGGCTCCAAATTTTCTTTAACGGAGAGTCTCCAGACTGATTTCGAGTAAAACTTTGAAAGCTCGCGAGATCAGGATGGTCTCACGAGGCTAGGTCAGAGGGCCCGGTGGCGCCAGTGTATGGCAGCCCCGCTTCATTTAGTGAGCCCCAGGGCAGCTGTGGCTACAAGCTTGCCACCATCAGTGTGTGAGTGTGTGCGTGAATGGGTGAATGAATGTAGTGTAAAGCGCTTTGGTCAAGTCTTCCGACTTGAATAAAGGCGCTATATAAGTACATGCCATTTACCATTTACCATTACAAGTGATGGAAACACGTCAGAACCTTCGTTTTAAAATCCGATGTACTGTCAAGATGACCATAGTTATTCTGCTCAGAAGTTCAACTTAGCCCGTAAGGTTGCAGAGAACCAGTGGCCTTGGCATTCCCTGCTCTAGTCCCGATTGATTTTCATCAAGCCCCAGATCTCCTTTTCACTCAGAAAAGAAGAAACTAACCAAGCAACCCTACAATATTCAGTGATGAGAGGTTTTGAAATTTTCTAGTTCCAATGAATGCGACACAGGCGCAATGCTCTGACCAATCAAGGAGGAGTTTGTGTGACAGGTACTCATCCATGTTTTATTGGCTATCAGCGCTGATACTATTTAGAGTTGTCATAGAAGAAAGTTGACATATTAAAAGATACATTTTCTTCTGTGGTGGCTGGCAAGGGCAGAAAGAGCCATCATGGACCCGGTAAACAGGGAAATTATTTAAATCTAGTAGGTTTCCAAACTTTTGTAAATATCAGGCAGCTCATTCACGATGAAATGATGCCAAGCTTGAAACGGACCAGGCCTAACTTGTAGAAGTAAAAAACACAGCTGCTTCCCACATTTACAAAGCCTTTTTGTCAGGGGTGACAGTATGCTTTTGTACAACACACAATTAGAAAGAGAGATCATATTTCTCCTATCCTGGCTTCTCTTCATTGGCTTCCTGTTTAAAATCCAGAATAGAATTTAAAATCCTCCTTCTCACATATAAAGCCTTAAATGGCCAAGCTCCATCTGATATCAGAGATCTGATTGTTCCTGATGTTCCTAACAGAGCACTTTGCTCTCAATCTGCAGGTTTACTGGTTCCTAGAATTTCTAAAAGTAGAATAGGAGGCAGATCTTTTATTTATCAGGCTCCTCTCCTGTGGAACCAACTACCAGTTTTAGTCTGTGAAGCAGACACCCTGTCTACTTTTAAGCGTAGGCTTTTCCTTTTTAATAAAGCTTTCAGTTAGAGAGGCTCAGCTTATCCTGAGCTACTGTATCTCTATAGTTATGCTGCTATAGGCTTAGACTGCTGGAGGACCTTTTTATCATTCTATCTCTATTCTCCCTTTTTTGCAGTATTTGTTAGTTCAATCTCTAACTTTCTGCTCTCACTGCCTTTACTCATAGTAGCTTAATCTGGTATGTTCCTGTGTGTCTGTGTCTAAATCCTGGGTAGAAACCTCAGATGTGGTGCTGCCATCATCACCTTTGTTTACAGATGTTTGAGCTTTGCCTGTTTTTCAGTGTAGTCAAAAGGTTAAAAGTTTTTCCTCTCCACTGTCACTATAAGCATGCTTGGTGAGTGAATGCCTTCAAGCCAATGAGTCGATGCAATCAGCTGGTTTTCCTTAAATAGAAAATCTTAACAAATCTGACTATCATCTGGTTGAATTATCTCTGTAAGGTGCCTTGAGATATGTGTTGATAATTGGCTCAATATAATTAAACTGAATTGAATTATACTGCGTACTTATGAAGATCAGGCGACACACAGTAACAGGAAGACCTGCTGCCTCTTCCTTTGTGAGACCAACTTCAGCACAGTGAGACAGTTGTTCATGTTTAAACCTCAAACCTGTGTTACACAGTAAAATTTGAGCAACTCTGCTATCTGTCTTAGCTTGATAATAGGCTATGTGGTTAAAAAACTGCCTCTGCAGTTTGCTAACTTTGAGGATTTTATTTCTTCTGCCTCATTTGAGTTGGTTTAAAGCTTTATTGAATTTCTACCAAAGAAATCTCTGTATTAATTTAAATTTAATTACTGTTTATTGGTATATAAAGACCAAGATGAAAAGCACATAGACCGTCTTAAAATATTCTGTCTTTAATTCCTTTTTTTAGCCATCGAATTAAGATGTTTGTTTTTGTACTGTTATAAATTCTGAACTGATAAAAAAAAAAAAAGATGTGGGTGTAATGGGGGTTACTGATACAACCATGAAACTTGAATTTTTGTTAATAGAGTTAAATACCTAGATAAGAAAGTCCTCTGTAGGTGTTTAATCAGCCTCAGTTTAGCTAAAAGGAAAAAAATCGATACATTAGTCAGTCCTGAATATTTATCTGATTATTTATTATTATTTCTGGAATAATCAAAATGCAGGAGCTAGGGGCCTCAAAATAAAAAAGGGGTAAATTAGCTGTTACATGCAGATTATATTGCTTCTATATTTCTTAAGATGCATGCAGGGTGCAGAAAAAGAATATGAGCCAGTAACTTTTTCCATATAGTACCAGCAAAATTGCTTTCACCTCAAAATTCCTTGTGGACTGGGAAAAAAACGTAAGCATTTTATTTTCGCTTTCTATGGAGTGCTCTGCTTTCTTACCCTAGGCAGTGCCGGGGACATTGTGCGGAAACGGGAGCGAGACCTTGACACAGTATACATTGAGGATGACTGGCAAGAAGCCATTAATATGGTTAATTCAGCCTTTATACGCTCAGAGAGACACAGTATAAAATACTACATCGTCCGTATATAACACCTTTTATGTTGAATAAGATGGATCGCCAAGGTCTCCCTTATGCAATAAATGCGAAAGAGAGGTTGGAATGTATTACCATTATTTCTGTCAATGCAGACTGATTAAACGATTCTGGGGTGCAAGTTCTAAGAGCTGATTGACGTGTTTCATGTAAAAATCAGCTGTGACCCAGGTCTGTTTCTTCTTGGCCTTCCCTCTAAATCAGTCACTCTGACACAATCAAACTTTAAACTTTGTGATAAATTATTGCTTTTGGCTAGAATAGTCATTTTAATTAATTGGATTAAGGATAAAACACCTGAACACAATATTTAGGGTCCTCCCTCTTCAAAGAATTAGGGCAGTTCCTAAGAGTAATGAGAAACATTTCATTGACATGTGGTATCCTTATCTATTTACATAAAGAGCTGGTGCAGCTTGTGATGAGAGGTTAGAGTCCTATAAAGTGGAAGGTCCACCACATCTTAACTAATGAACATCCTCCTTTTGTATTACTATGCATCTTCTTTCTTTCTTTGATCACCCGGTTAGATATGATTGTGTTGATTTCAGGCTTTAACTATGTCTGTTAATGTTTGCCGACCACTGAAGACCTGATTTAACATGAATGTGAGAGAACCAATGTGTATGGCGCCTTCATTTTATTTTATTTTATTTTTTTGTTTGTTTGTTCCTGCTCCGTAACCCATACTTATGTGAGGTGATAGGCAACACAGTGTACAATTTTCTATTTTTTATGTTTGTGAAAACTCAAATAAAAATGTTGAAAAAAAAAGAAAAATTCCTTTCACCTCAGCTTATTGTTTCATCAAAGAGTGGCAATCAAATTCAAATGTTTTTCACAATCTGTTGATCTGATTATATATATATATATATATATATATATATATATATATATATATATATATATATACTGTATATATATATATATATATATATATAGTGGGCTGTATATGTTGCAGTAATTGGTTTCAAACAAGATGCCAGATGCTCAAGAAGACTAATAAAAAGCCTTTTTCCCCCAGTTAAATTCCCTGGGTGTGGAATCTTCCTCTGAAAGTAGAAAGGTTCTGCTAAGCACAAGTTTTTAAAATACATTTTTAATCTTCCAGGCAAAAAAAAAGAAGGAATGTGTGCAGAATCAGAAACCAACGCACCATTTTTTTATATCATTTTGTTTTTTTAATTCCTTGTTTTTTTTATTTCTTCCTCTTCCGATTGGTCCAAGCTTCGATTGTTTGGTTTCCTTCTACTTCCATGAGTAGTTGAGCTCTACACGTTTCACCAGTCTTGGAGTAAATGCACAAACGTGAGACGCTGTTTACCTGCAGAGTTTAATCCAAAATAAAGGAGCATTGTTCTGCTTTCAGAAACGGCATGAAAAAAAATCACAATGCACAGACAAACTATCAAAGGTTAGACACGAATTTACAGCACAGTAAGACATGGCAGCCCGACTCTGCAGATCATGCTGGTGGAGGAAGATGAAGACGAGGAGTCATCATCCCTTCCTGAATCCAATTCCAGTCTCCACTAAAGCTAGCAGCTAAGCACCTGTCCTTCCCCTCACTGCTGCTCCTCCTCATCCTCAGCCACCTGCCCTGGCTGACCTTCATCATCACCATCAGCATGGTTTCCCTCCTGAGACTCATCAGCAGTCGTTACCATGGCATCCACCACACTGACAGTGCTGACCTGCTGCGGTACCACAGGGTTCTGCGCAGCAGTCAGTGGCAGCGTCACCAGCTGGAACTGTGGCCTGACCACCTTAACGAAGGGGCTGGAGGAGCTGGACCCTGCCGCGGCCCCCTGAGCTGCCGCCGCCGACAACGTCACATTGGAGCCATCGGCTCCAAGCTCAGAGCCAGGGAGCGATGAAGTCAGGAGGGTGTAGCCACTGAGGTTGCTGCCTGCCTGACCTCCTGCCACCGTCAGCACCTTTCCCAGCTGCAGGCTGCCCAGCTGGCTGAAGGGGAGAGTGATCTGAGAGGGCGTGGCATTGACCGAAGCCGGGCCAGAGACGGCGCGGGTCAGCCGGGGTCTTTTGGGTGCTGGGGGAGCCGGGACAGGGGTCATGTTCATCAGGACGTTGTTGAGGTGCTGCGATTTACTCTTCAGTTCTTTGGCTCTCTTCCTGTGCTCGTCACACTGTTGCTCCAGAGCTGCAGAGGAAAACAAGTCAGAGTCAGAACTAAAGCAGCCTCTTCAGCCTAAACATTACGACCACCAGCAGTTTAGGATTCATTTCTTTGATTGGCAACTGGCAGTGGGTTAAAGCCATCAATTGGCAGCAGGCAGATTTAACTAAAACAAGCTGGTGTCTAACTGGCCTTTTAGAAAAGCTGGATTTGTGCCAGTCTGAATGTGGAGAACAGGTACGCAGAGGTCCATGCAGCTATTAACCCCTAGGAAACATTTCAGCAGACTTTATACATCCAGGATGTTTTCTGCTCAATAGATCAAACAGCCGCTTTGAAGTGAAACTGTTGCACCAAGGCTGTAGATTTGTGCTTTCCAGGACTACCCCTCCAATAATAGGATAATAGAATGCTGTATCCAGTTTTATTCACATCTGCTATTATCCAAGTCATCTTGAAAACATTCTTCTTTCAAATGTTGGCTACATATTACGAGTTTTTTCTCTGGCCAGAAGTTCGATGGCAAATCCTCCCTCTTCAAGTTGGCAATCCAACAACGAACCCATCCGTGGAGGATAAGGAATCGGAAAGGCGAAATAACTAGTTATTTGTTACTTTTACCCACGGTATTACAACATCCAACTGCCATGTACATGGGCATTTTCAGTTTAACTATAGCTCTCACAAATTTCAGTGGTGAAGTCCTCTGGAAATATTAAAGTTGTACAGAAACGGCTGTTCCAATTCCGAATTCTCCCAAGTGGTGCACGACTTTACACATGTGAATGTGATTTTCAAGTGAATGTGATTGGTTGATTATCAAGGGGGCGGCATTGTCGTGGCGGAAGGTTTGCAAACAAGTTTGGTTGTGACTGGTTTGTCGGAAGCATCTTGCTAACCAGTGAGCAACTTTGTGCTAGTAGGGTCCCAATGGGAAATTCCATTGGGACCAAGCAGCCACTAGCAACGACACTGTCACGGACCGCTACGGACAGCGGAAACATGCAAGAGGAGGAGAGTTTTGTGTTGGAGGTCTTCGATGAGTGTCCTCCCTCGTACATTTTTATTCAAAGTAGGAAAGCGGGGATGAAGATGTTGTGGAAGAGGACGCCAGGGCGGCAGAAGCTTGGTTTGGTGTAGAAGGCTTCCAGCTGTACACGTTGCCTCGCAACGCTGCCAGTTATGTTAGCTCTACGCCTGGCGAAGACACAGACGTCCATCCCCGTGAACACTGGGACAGAACTTAGTGGTAAAGTATTCTTATTTCTTATTTCAGCCGTTGTGTTTATTAGCTGCGACGGATGAATCCAGATGCTATGACTGAAAACATTTGATTGACAGAGGACCTTTGATATATGATTGGCCGAATTTAGGTGTTCAGGCTGACGTATAACTAACTGGCCTGCATAAGATAACGAAAAAACCCCCACAGATTTTAAGAAACGATTTCTTTTTAAGTAGAAATTTTCTGACTTTTAGGACAATATGGTCTGATAAGGACTACATTTATAAACATGTTTAAGCCAGAATGGTTTGAAATTTAAATATGACTTCCCTGCGACTTTAAATAATGGTTGTTGATTGCAGATGTGTCTAGTAGTTCCCATTGATTTTGCTTGTAAAGCGGGGAGAATGGCGCTAGGCTTACCGCACCATGACGTCACTGCCGGAAGATAGCAGGAGAGAGGTTCTACTATATTTGGGCAAAAATGGACGCTCCCGGACTCGATCATGAAAAAAATTATTTTATTTTTTTTACTGATTAACGCTAAATTCATTAAAGCAAAAAGAACATATTAGTTTTAGGAATAAATAATTATCTAAACCCAGTAAGAGAATGTTCTGGAAAAGAATCGGATCTATTGATTACCAGCTGCTACACCTCCTGACTGCTTCTGGCCTGATGGAGACCTTTAGCTGTGGGTGGAGGTCCGTCATTAAGCAGATGGTTCTAATGTAGGAATGACAGAGAGACGGCGATAACTAACCAGCAAGGCTTCGAGTGTACTGCTCTCTATGCCGGTCCATCTGGCTCTTGTGACCGGCCAGAACCTTCTTCACCAGGTCCAGCATGCCGAAGTTCTGGACTATGTTGTTAAGCAGAACAGCATCTGATAAACAGAACAGAGCAGCGTGAAACACAGAAATATCACAAACCAACTTCCAGAAGATCCAAGAGTGACCTCTGACCTTTGACCTCCACTGGTGGATCACATACTCTCTCCTGCAATCCCTTCAGGATCTCCTGCACCTCCTTCTGAAAGTCCTCCACCACCTCCTGGAGCAGCCCGGCCTCCTTCACAGCTCGCCAGAACACCACAGAGTCCTCTGGATAAACCAAACCCTTCATATAACACTGATTTACTGTATGGAACAGATTGTAAGAGCGGCGGATCACCTCCGATTGTTGTGACCCACTCCGATGGTTCCTCTGGCGCATCTGGAAAGGAGACAGCTGCTCCGTTTACTGTAGGACAGACAGAAAACGTGTTTAGACAGCAAAAGACGTTAAAGGAGGAAAAAATGAAGCATTGAAAGCATTGGATCAAAACAATAGTGAATTTGATCTCAGCTGCTCTTGACTTATTTTACATTAAGGCATAACATAGACAAACTTTATTGTCGTTTTGTCAACACAGGGTGTAAACAAAACAAAAATTCAGTCAGTAAAGCTCTCAAGACTTTTCCCTTTCGAAAGTGCAGCAGTGATCAAATGTAAACATAAGACTGGTAAATGATTTATAGTTTTTCCAGCATTTGGTGCTTTTTTTTTTTTCTCCCCGTTTTATTCAACATTCAGCGGTCTGAATGTCAGTCTGGCGGTGGGGAAGGAATCTGCAGGACCTGCATCGGATGCTTCGAAGCCTCTTCCCAGAGGGCAGCAGAGGGAGAACAGTCCATGGTGGAGGGGTGAGGGGTCATTGATAATGTTACAGGTTCTGGACACGCAGCAATGGGATGAAATGTCTTTAATGGAGGGAAGATGAGCCCCCATGATCCTCTTTGCTGTTCTCACCTTCTTCCAGTCTGAGGCTCTGCAGCCTCCACACCACACAGTGAGACAGCTGGTCAGAACGCTCTCTTTGGTGCTTCTGGAGAAGGTGGGGAGGATGGGGGGGGGGGGGGGGGGGGGGGGGGGGTCGGGTGTTGCTTTGTGGCATCTGGAAATATGCTTCATGTTGGAGATCTTCTACTTTCACTGATTTCTTAATTCTAGTCTGACAGCAATGAAGTCTGAGGCTGACTGATGAAACGTGGGTAATTAACAATGTAAAACAGGGGGGCAGTTATATTCCCAGTTATTTTCACCGGTTGTTTTCTTTAATACCATAAATCATTTTTGTTAAATTGCATTTACTTAGTTTAACTTTGAGATTAGATTTGGTTAGATGATATTAAACATGTAGGTCTTAAAAAGAAAACAGAAAATATTGTAGCGGGGAAAACATCAGTGTGGGATTAAAGATAAAATTAATAAAGACTTTCATTTAATCAAATGCTACATTAATCCGCATACACACACCAAGATAGGCAACCTCACAGAACTGTTTCCTTATAGGTAAAGGAAGCGTGGGACATGCAGTTCCAAAACAACTGATCATGAAAAAAGAAATTATCTTTCATTTTCACATTTTTGAAAAGAGAAAGTCATAACATCTTTCCTTCTGTTTTTTTCTTTTGCTAGTAACATGATGCTTAGGTGAACTTTTACTAAATAAACATCTAGTGATATATATATTTTTTTTTTTATTCAGAAGTGTGTTTTCCTGCTGAATGTCCAATGACCGCAATCTCTACAGGACATCTAAAGGATTTCTTAAAAGACAAAAGTTTGTTTTCTTCAAATAAAAAATTCTGGTAATGTGACTGGGATTTTAAAACAAACTAAACTACAGCATTAAGACGAATCGTAAAGAACAGCACATCTGGCTTAGACTGATTCCATCTTTTTCCCTCAGTTATTGAAGGCTAAAACAAGAACATTAACAACTTATTTTACCTTGAATTTTATTTTACCTTGAAGACATATTTCACTTTTGTGTTTCCCTTTTTTCTTTATTTTTCCTCTTTCTAAGTAGAAGATGCAGGCGTGGGCTCTTTATGAATGCTCCTGCTCCCCTTCAGTCAAAAAACATGCATTTTGTTAGATCTTTGTATGCCTTTAGGAGATGTGTGCTTGGACATTTTTTTTGTTCATCCGTTGCACAATCAACACATAATTCTCCCCATGTTAACATCACTCAGGCCTGATAGTTCGATATTGCATAGATGTGATGCATAAATGGCTCATTTGACCAGTTGCAAAGAGACTCTTACTGCTCTTTGCACACCTGATATAAGCCTTTAGAGTCTGATATGACAGCAGCTACTGGGCAGTGTTGGGGGTGATCAAGTGACAACTGATTGGTGATCAAGGCTGGGGGACTTACGGTCCGCTGACGAAGCGGAGGCAGAGAGCAGGTCGGCGGACTGGTCGCAGCTGACTGACACTTTAGTTCCCACCAGATCGATCTTGGTGCTGCGGCAGGTGTTGGAGCAGACCTTTGTATGCTGATAGAAGTCCAGCTCACCCGAGTCCATGATCTTCCTGGGAAACAGAAAGCAATGAAGCATTTTAACTGTGTTAATAGGGCCACCCTGTGGTGTAACTGTAAATTGCAAATTAATTTTGTTAAGGGAACAATTGAGGATGGCATTATTTTATATAAACCCATCCATCGTTTCAGATAACATGTCCAAAATTTGATTATTCTTCACCTCCTTCAGTTTTGGAAGTTTAGGTTTTATACAAATTAAAAACAATTCCACACCAATGATGTGCAGCTGTAAGCCCAATGAAGTTTTGTTCAACTAGAAACTCTGAAAAAGCCAGGCTTTTGTTCAAATCATTTTTAACAAATATCACACAATCATCTTTAAATATTTGAGGTGGCTAAAACTGAATCACTATTACAGGTGCTGGTCATAAAATTAGAATATCATGAAAAAGTAGATTGATTTCAGTAATTCCATTTAAAAAGTGAAACTTGTATATTATATTCATACATTACATACAAACTCATATATTTCAGATGTTTATTTTGTTTAATTTTGATGATTACAAATGACAACAAATGAAAATCTCAAATTCATCATATCAGAAAATTAGAATATTACTGAAGACCAATAAAAACAAAGGATTTATAGAAATGTTGGCCAACTGAAAAGTATGAACATGAAAAGTATGAGCATGTACAGCACTCAGTATTTAGTTGGGCCTCCTTTGGCCTGTATTACTGCAGCAATGCGGCGTGGCATGGAGTCGATCAGTCTGTGGCACTGCTCAGGTGTTATGATAGCCCAGGTTGCTCTAATAGTGGCTTTTAGCTCTTCTGAATTGTTGGGTCTGGTGTATTGCATCTTCTTCTTCACAATACCCCATAGATTTTCTATGGGGTTAAGGTCAGGAGAGTTTGCTGGCCAATTAAGAACAGGGATACCATGGTCCTTCAACCAGGTACTGGTAGCTTTGGCACTGTGTGCAGGTGCCAAGTCCTGTTGGAAAATGAAATCTGCATCTCCAAAAAGTTGGTCAGCTGCAGGAAGCATGAAGTGCTCTAAAACTTCCTGGTATGTGGCTGCGTTGACCCTGGACCTCAGAAAACACAATGGACCAACACCAGCAGATGACATGGCACCCCAAACCATCACTGACTGTGGAAACTTTACACTGGACTTCAAGCAACGTGGATGAAGTGCCTCTCTTCTTTTCCTCCAGACTCTGGGACCTTGATTTCCAAAGGAAATTCAAAATTTACTTTCATCAGAGAACATGACTTTGGACCACTCACCAGCAGTCCAGTCCTGTTTCTCTTTAGCCCAGGCAAGACGCTTCTGACGCTGTCTGTGGTTCAAGAGTGGCTTGACACAAGGAATGCGACAGCAGAAACCCATGTCTTTCATACGTCTGTGTGTGGTGGTTCTTGAAGCACTCACTCCAGCTGCAGTCCACTCTTTGTGAATCTCCCCCACATTTTTGAAGGGGTTTTGTTTCACAATCCTCTCCAGGGTGCGGTTATCTCTCTTGCTTGTACACTTTTTTCGACCACATCTTTTCCTTCCCTTCGCCTCTCTATTAATGTGCTTGGACACTGAGCTCTGTGAACAGCCAGCCTCTTTAGCGATGACCTTTTGTGTCTTGCCCTCCTTGTGCAAGGTGTCGATGGTCGTCTTTTGGACAACTGTCAAGTCAGCAGTCTTCCCCATGATTGTGTAGCCTATAGAACTAGACTGAAAGACCATTTAAAGGCTTTTGCAGGTGGTTTGAGTTAATTAGCTGATTAGAGTGTGGCACCAGGGGCCATCAATTTTGAACCTTTTCACAATAGTCTAATTTTCTGATATGATGAATTTGAGATTTTCATTTGTTGTCATTTGTAATCATCAAAATTAAACAAAATAAACATCTGAAATATATGAGTTTGTATGTAATGTATGAATATAATATACAAGTTTCACTTTTTAAATGGAATTACTGAAATCAATCTACTTTTTCATGATATTCTAATTTTATGACCAGCACCTGTACAATCATTTCTGTGTAAACAAAAGAAAATGTAACCATTTACCAGAGTGGATTTCTCCTCCTCCAGTGAAAATTCAGGGGTTTCGTGCATGAAACATGTCTACCGAAACATGTCTTTTACATTCAACTCAGGATGTATAAAAATAGACCAAGATAACAAACCAAAAAGTGCAAAAACAAAACTAAATAAACTCAATGTTTGGCTCATGTTACTACAAAGTTGTTGTTCTGCTGCAGAGAACATCTCTGCTTAATGTTGACTAAAGTCTCTACCTGACAGCACTGTTGTCGGGGTTATTTGGATACATCATGGGAGCTTCGAGGTATTTACTCTGATCTGCATGTGTGTGGTGACATTTGTATGCATGGTTTTAAACATCAAGGTGTTTCAGTGTGTCACGTTTCCTGCATGAGGCCTCATGAGTTTAATCCCTGTTCAGGAAAAACTCACACTGTGCATTTGATTCTGTCCGAACATATTGAAAACTTAAATTTAGAGAGGTCTCCTGCTGTCTTTAATTAGTCTTGGAGGTCAGAATGTTAAATATATTCTGGTATTTTGTATTTAGTATCTTCTGTATTTAGTCAACAGAAGATACGAGCAAAGAATTTCTCTCCACTTTATGTGCTCAAATTCCAATTAACCCTTCTAGCAAAATGGTTGCACTAAATATAATTCATAATAGGGGCAAATTAAGCACATTAATAACCACGTACTTCGTAGTGGATCTTAAAAATCTTCTGAGTTCATGGTCAGAAATGTAAGGAAAAATACCAGAGAGGTCTCATTTTTGGTGTGAGGGATTGCCTTCGAGTCAATGAGTCGATCCAATCAGCTGGTTTTTCGTTAGATAGAAAACTTTGAATTAATCTGACTAGTGCCTTGAGATGACATGTGTTGATAATAGGCACTATATAAATAAACTGAATTGAATTGTTCACATGTGTCTACTAAGCATCCCAACCTGAGCATGATGCCATTCAGCCGGATTGCTCTCTTCCAGTCTTTTAAGGTGGATTTCCCAGCCAAACACACAAACTCTTTTGGGCTGATTAGCTGATCATTGAACTGAAAAAAAGAGGAATAAAAACGAAGTTACCATCAACTGTTCTAGGAGCAACGTGGCTGCTATGAGTGAACTCAGATTCAATTCCACCAACAGGACACACCTGGACACACTTCACGTTGATCCCTGGACAGACAAACTTCTTCCACACCAGAGTGGCTTTGGCGTCTCCGCATGTGATGGGGTAGAAGACATCAGCCTCCACATCCACCTCCTCAGAGAGCTTCACTGCATGGTCAGAGATGGAGAAAACACGGTTGATGGTAAAAGCTTTACTGGTTCCATTAGATAAGTGCTGAACAATATCATCATCAACTTCATTAAATCCCTGAACAGAAAAAACTGTGTACTCAAACTAGAGTGATCGTGCAATGATGCACTGATCACCTCAGAACTAATTGCTAGTATTATTATTTTCATTATAAATCATCTGCAAGTCTGAAATATCTTCCCGTTTTAAGTAGTTTATCTAATTGCGACAGCTCCTGTGTCAGGATAAAAGGGCATCTGCATCATACACTTGGGAGAGATTTGGGAAGGGAATGAGAGTGGTGTCCTTGATCTAAAAATAAAGTGTATTTTGATAAGGCTGCAGCCATGGATGTCTCCTCATCTGCAAACGTGTATGATGTAATAATGTACGGTGCAGCCATTCAAAATGGCCCTTCCCAGTCAAACGCCAGCCGAATCACAGCCCACTCCCATGTTACTCACAGCAGAATCCCCTCCAACTTGCAGCATTTTTTGACCCTGACTCCACTCTTTCACTAAATTACAGGGTCTGACCAGGAGATGATGCTTCTCTTTAGATCTTAATGTCCACAAATCATGACAGAAAGAATATTTTAGATGTTTAAAAAGGAAGGACCCATTAAGGAAAGTGGGGACAATGGGTACTCCTGTAATGATGTGCCAGACAGGAGTTATATATAATGCTTCTCTAACTGTTTATCGGGGTAATTTCACAAGATCTGAGCCCGGTTGGTAAGCAGCTGCCATCTGTAACGGTAAACATCTTCTCTGATCTGAGTAAGATTACAATTTCTATCAAAATCTGTTCTCATGTCTCCTGGTTATTTAATACATATACATTATGAAGTAGGGATGCACGATATTGGGATTTTGGCCGATATCCGATATGCCGATATTTTAAAACTCATGTAGCCGATAACCGATATTGATACCGATGTTAAAGCTGGACAAAAATAAGTAGTCATTGAAAATAGCAGTTTTGTTATCCATTTCTGACACTTTGAAAAATAATACACTCAAATATATTTTCATATGCTTATATCAAATTGATTTTTTAAAAACGCGGTATCGATCTATTTTACTTTAAAAATCTCGTGAAATTTCATTGTTCTGTTACAAACTCTCGTGATATTTTGCAAATTCTTGTGAGATTTTGTTAGTAAAATAGATCGATACCACGTCAATATATCAACATATAAAAATATGGCAAAATTTTGTGAATTTTCGCGGGATTTCGTAGCATAACGATGACATATAGCAATATTTCATTAGTAAAAGAGATTGATGTGGTGTTTTTAAATGGCAATATATCAGCATATGAAGATATTGTGATATTTTATTGTATCAATATTTTTCCCTCGTCTTTAGAAGTTTTTAAGTCTGTAAAAAAGAAGATTTTGAGGAAGAAGAAGAAGTAGTATTTATTTATTTTTTTAGACTTTAGAAACTCAGAAGCTGATCAAATATCGGGTTAAATATCGGTGGGGTGGCCGATGTCCGATATTCAGATTTAAGGCCGATACCGATAGGGGGCCGATTATATCGTGCATCCCTATTATGAAGTGTTATTTAAAGGGTTTGTCCTGATTGATCTCTCAGAAAAAGAACCTGGAGAGAGAAAGCTTCAAGGTGTAAACACAGAGCTGTAGCTCATATTACCAATGACTGTCTCTTCCTTAGACAGAGAATCCGCTGTGGTTTCAGTTTCTGCTTCCACTGGTCCCACTGTGAGGATGTCCTCCCTGGAACGCATCAAGGCATTGTTTGAAAAAATGTAACTGCTTTTTCACATAGATCACACAGACCTACATATTTCAGTCAGAAAATATTTGAGGTGGCCTTCATTAATTACTTACATGACAACAGGCTTAGATTAAACCTCTTCTCACTAAACTCGAGTTAAAATTATTAGTCTAATTATTAAGGTTTTGTTGTTTTTTTATACAGTTTTGGGTCTCAAACTCGTATCTTTGAGTGTTTGTATCCTGCACCCTTTTGTATATATTTTTTTTCAAATATTTTTAGGCTCTAGTGGCCTTAGTAGTTAGCCTCGTGAGACCATCCTGATCTCACGAGCTTTCAAGGTTTCACTCGCAGATCAGTCTGGAGACTCTCCGTTAAAGAAAATTTGGAGCTGTTCAACAAACGAACGTCCAATCAGCGTTGGCTTTGAGGCGGGTTGAGGTGTGACTCAACGAGAAGTGCGACAGTTCAGTCTAAAGAACATGGCGGCTTCCTCCGATGAAACTAGCGTTAGCGTGGCTATCGAGCAAGTTTTATCGGAATTACAGAGTATTTCTTCACTGAAAGAAGAGCAAAACACTGCTCTGGAGGCTTTTCTCAGAGGGAAATATGTTTTTGCTCTTCTCCCGGCTGGTTTCGGCAAGATTTTGATCTATCAATTGGCTTGTGGTTGTGTTTTTGTCGTCGCTCTGTTAGTACGTCATCTGCTTCGTTGATCTGATTGCTTTATTTGGCCCGTCTATCACCAACATAGGCCAATCAGCTAACCAGTATTTTCGCCCCTTCCCAAAATTACTTCAACGGAAGGTTTCCAGATGGATATGCGGAGCAAATCCATCTGGCGGAGTCAGGTTACTTAGTAGTAGTCAGAAAGAAAATGGGAGTAGAAAAAATGGGAAGATATGTGTCCAAGCTTACCAGGCTGGGACTCGAAATTGTGATGGCCGCATCTAGAACCAAACCATCTGCGAAACCCCTGCGCCACCTTTGGTTCTCTTTGATTTTTATGTGTGTATTTTGTAGAGAATACAGTAGCAGCCACTAAGGATAAGGGATTCACTGCCTTCGAGTCAATGACTCGATGCAATCAACTGGATTTCCTTAGATAGAAAACTTTTAATCTATGTGACTGTATGATCTGGTTGAACTGTAAAGTGCCTTGTTGTGAATTGGCAATATATAAATAAACTGAAATTTAATTGAATTAAAAATGGCCCTTCCCAGCCAACTTCCAGCCACTGGAGTGACCCCCTCCTTCTTCTTGCCATGCATATGTTCTTACTCTGACTTCACCTTTTCACTGAATTACAGGGTCTGACCAGGAGAGGGCGCTTCTCTTTGGAAGCCAAGGACCAACAAAAGGCCCATCAAGTGGGGAAATCTTAAATGGCTATGACTGTCACTTTTTACATAATGCTATTTATAGGAGCTATTTTTTTCATTTTCAGTCAAATCTTAGAGTTTAGATTATTTTGTTTCATTTGTTATTTAGAATAGGTTTTTGGTCAGTCATTCATTAATTAGTTAATGAATTTTAGCTTTGGATGTGGGTGTTTCACAGTATAAATAGGTAGAACTGCATTTTCACCCTTTTTTGATCTTTTGGACAGCGTAAGCCAGAATCCACGGAGCATCAGGTGACTATTTGAGTTAAATTCACCTTTTGCTTTGATCACTTAAGTTAAGTCTTAAATTTTTAATTATTGATTTTTGAACAAATAGTCACTACACTACTAGTGGCTGATAGAGGTGTCCACCTATGGTAATATTAGTGACACCGGATTACTGACGTCTAACCTAATGATTTATTTGGATAATACAGAAATCTTTTTTTCTTGTAATCATTTTGTCGCCAGAACTCTAAATATGAGACAAACATCCATCCAAGTTGTCTGATTAGGTTACCCAGCATGTGGAGTCAGCTCTGCAGTCACCAGCACAGCTTTATCCTCCTCCACCACAGAGGGCAGCTCATTAGGCACGGGTTCTGGAAGGGTGACGATGACCACATCACTCATCTCTGTCACGCTGATGTCTGACGAGGCCATCGGCCGATCCTTAAAACTAAAACCAGAACAAAACAGAGACAAGCTTTAATGGATCAGCACAGGAACGCTGGACTACTTCTAATAAAACCAAGAGTAATTCAATTCAAACAACAGAATAAATTATTGATGTAAAACAAGCGTCAGCTAAAAATCATTAAATGAGGAGCTTGTTATATTTTTGTTGTCCTTCATCTGACACAGTACATAAAATTTTGTTAAAACCCCACAACTAAATAAAGTCCTCCATGTCCTGTGTGGCTCTGTGGAAGGGAAACTCCAGCCTTATTCTGGCTTTGTACTTCCACAGAGCCACGGCATCAAGATGAGCTCCCTCCCGCAGTCTGCTCTGCAGGAAAATTAAAAAGCCATCTTTGCTTCACTTCAGTTTTTCTGTCCAGATGCCGACTGGCTGGTTCTGAAGATGTCTTTGGTTAATGCTTTTGTCCAGCTGTGGTAAAGGGCTTTATGTTTCAAATACAATAAAACCATTCTCTGTGGGTCCAGGCTGCAAAGAAGAGGGCTGCATTGCTCAGGGAAGCTAGGATCCAGGAAATATCAGAAAGAGGAGGAAATGTTGAGTTTGTTGAGTTTACACCCAGAAAAAGAAACCTCTACATTGCACCATGCAAAAAGCAAGGTAGAAGAAAAAGGGAGAGATAATCTCGTTGATAAACAAAGCCTTCAGAAGATTGTGACATAAAAACTTTTTGAGAATTTAGGAGAGATTCACATCCTGTGGATGGAGCTAGAGTCAGAGCTTCAGGAGAAAAAAATACACACTGATCCGGGCCCCAGGCACAAACTGTCAGGGTCCTCAGGACAAGAGAGAAGGATTCCTGAACCAGAGACAGATGACTGAAGAAAAGAAAGAGAAATCACTGCTTATATGTCCAAAGTCATATTTTAAGATTTAAAATTTTTTTTAGCTTTTTATTTGAAGACTAAGATCCTAGAGTCCTAGAAAAAGAAGAGGCACAGAATTTTAAGTTTCTTTAGAATTATTGAGAAGTTTCCAGCTCCATCGGGTTTCATCAACTCCAAAGTCACGCATTAAATTCTTCTGCTAGAATGGCAGAAAAAAATGACCACACCAAAACTTTATTCAAAAACTATGGAGAAGTGTAAAGAAGAAGATGAAAAACATAAGATGTCTACGATCCAGGAAAGCTGCAGGGAACCACTGAAGCTAACCGGGAGTCTTGGACACCTCAACAAAGCCACGGACTCAGGCAAAAGGAGACCTGACCAAGTATTTATTACATATACAACAACCTGTACTTAAAATGGCCTGTACTTATATAGCGCTTTTTCAAGTGAGGAGACCTGACCAAAGCACTTTACGTTCACCTATACACACACACTCACACACTGATGGTGGCCTGGTGTTCACTGACCGAAGCCAGGCTGCCGTACACTGGAGCCACCAGGTTTTCTGACCACCATCAGTAGACAATGCAGGTGAAGTGTTTTGCCCAAGGACACAACGACAATGAAAGCTGGAGCCATGGCCTGAACCGTCACACCTTTGATTTCAGGGCAAACTCCCACATCGGACACCACTGTCGCCCCTGCTGAACATATATAGCCAGTATGCTCTCATTGCTGGATTGAAACAATATATGAACATTTATTTCTATGTGCTATTTAACTTTCTAAGACACTGAATTAGGATTTTTTTTTTTTTTTGTTGTTGTTCCTGTCATCATAATGATGATTATCTACATTAACTGAGAAATATGCAAAATTTATTACACTAAATTTAACCGAACGAATGCATGAGCTTCGCATCTTTAATTGAATTACTAAAAGAAAGCAGCTTCCCTAAAATGGATGTGAAATAACAGCTCTCAACATCCCTCCATCCCCTTTCTCCCGCTTAGTCTTTGCCAAAGGCGCGGTGGGGCCAGTGCTCATCTCCAGCAGTCTACGGGCGGGGTACACCCTGAACAGGTCAGCAGTCTGTCGCAGGGCAAGACAGACACACACACACAATTTATGTCAAGCCAATGAACCTACATAACAGTCCTGTTGGACTCTGGGGGGAAGCTGGAGTACCCAGAGAGAACCCACACATGCACAGAGAGAACATGCAAACTCCAAGCAAAAAGACCCTGGGCCGGGAATCGAACCCAGAACCTGCTTGCTAGGCAACGGCACACCTACTGCTTCACCTTTCAGTTCTTTACACTGTGTATAAAACAGACACTTAATGGAACATATTGGTATAAATGTCAAAGAAATTAAGGCTACTTGACTATTGACTATTTTAGCTATGACTGTCTTCTCCTTTTGTCGAGTTTCTCTAGAAAGAGGGAATTAATATTAAAAGGTGAATGGAGGCAAATGTTCAAATAAGTGTTTCTAGGTTATAATTGTAATCTGGTCTTTGAAGAGAAACATAAACTTTAGACTGTCCTTTTACAAAAAACAGTGTAATTTTCAGCAAGAAGCAGACCGGGCAGAAATAGATATACATTCAAACTGAGACCTTCCTGTCTCTATGAATAACGGCAGAGGTTAAAAAACATCTTCTGCTGAGCTTGATCCTGAGACCATGGAGCCCTGGTTTAACATCTTACCTTTACTTTCTGTCTGCTTGATGTTTTGTTTCTCCTGAAGGTGTCAACGGTTTTCTACAACAGATCCAGTTAGATTCAAAGAACATCCAGCTGACAGATGTCTCCTTTATTAAATTATAACTAAATTAAATAATAAAATCTAATTGTGTCTGAAGCTGTTAAAACGATAACGTTTAAACTCATGCTTATCTGCAGCTGAGCAGACTTCGCTGTGTTTACATCCGGTACTTCCGCTTCTACTTCTTCTTCTTCTTCCGCTTCTACTTCTTCTTCTTGTGTTTTTTTTTTTTATTGGCGGATGGCAACCATACCAACTTAAGGTGCATTTACCGCCACCTACCAGACTGGAGTGTGGCTATCAATGATGTCAGAGGGAAGTTATTAAATATGACCGAGTTGGTCCTTCATATTAACGAAACTGCATATTATCTATGAATCAATATCTATACAAACTTACATATAAATTAATATGCGTGAATATTCACATGCATATATGCATCACATGCATGAATTAAAAATAATTGTGCCTAAAGCACATAAAAGATAGTCTATCTGTTACAATTCTCTCCATTACTTTCCCTAATGGAGATGTAAGAGTTATAGGTCTATAGTTTGAAGGGTCTGTTGCATTTTTAACTGGCTTCAACACAGGAATTATGTTTCCATGCTTTTGGAATAATGCCTGTCTCCCAAATCAAATTAAAAAGTTTAAGAATAATAGAAAGAGATACACCATTTAAAAGCATTACACATCAAACTCCGTCTTTTCCTGGTGTTGACTGTTTAACATTAAAAATAGTTTTTTTCAACCTCAAACAAAGTAAAAGGTAAATCTAGATCTTGATTTGAAACTATTCACTTGTTAGTGAGCTCTGGATTATGAGCTAAAATATTCTCTTTACAACTCTTCATATGTTCAGATACATTTTCAGAACTATGCACTTTAATTAATGTTTCTGCTAATAGCTCTGCTTTTTCTTTATTACTAACAGCTATCTTCCCATTAAATTCTAGAACAGGTAAGGAAAAAAATTTCTTAACATGATTCATTTTCTTAATAACTCTCCATACCTCAGATAATTTGGTTTCTCTTCCAATAGAATTACAATACTGTCTCCAACATGCCTTCTTAGCTGCTCTAATAGTTTTTCCTAACTATAGCTTGTGCAAAGGTATGGCATCTCCTCACCAATTTAAAAGCTTTATTTCGTCCCCTTATAGCAGCACTATATTCTTCATTCCACCATGGAATAGACATTGTATTTCCTCTGTTTTAGAAATTGTAGTTTCAGCTGCATTAACAATAACAGAAACAACTTTAGAGTTACACAACTCCACATCAAAAAATAAGTTTTCATCTAATTTATCACACTGATTATTAACTAAATATTGAAATAATTCCCAATTAGCCCCACTTAGCCTCCATCTTGGAATCAATACTTCCTCTTCTTTAACTACTTCAGAACCAATTGTTATTATAATAGGAGAATGATCACTACCCATAAGAGAATCTCTTATCACCTCCCAAGATGTAATTCCAGCTAATCTATTTGACACCAATGTTAAATCTAGAATACTGTCTGAATTCCTATTACAATCATACCAAGTAGGACTTCCATCATTAACATAAACCAGTGAATGTAAAGCAAGAACCTCTTCAATGGTCAATCCATTTGAATCTGTATTAAGACTCCCCCATAAAATATTATGTGAATTAAAATCACCACACCATATAGTCTTTTGTTCACATTGTTCCTCTACTTCATTAAGATCTGGAATGCTCAACTTCTTGCTACAATTGTATAGATTAACCACTGAAATCTGATCATTTCCTATCCAGATCTTAACAGCTATTGATTCTTAAATAGCTATAATACTTAGTTTTTATATAATGATTTGCCATTTGACCTCTCCTTCTGTCTACCCACTCTTTTTTAATTCCATAATCCAGGGGTTCCCAAAGTGTGGGGCGCGCCCCCTATGGGGGGCGCAATGCCATTGCAGGGGGGGCGCGGGAGGCGGTATGAGTGAAGAAAAAAAAAAAAAAACAGCGCTTGCTTGACTGAGCATAATACGACGGAGTATTAGGGCCACACATGAAGAGAAAAAATATTTTTGCCATGACGAGATTAAACTCGACATGTCGACTTTAAACTCGCCCTGTCGACTTTAAACTCGCCATTTCGAGAATAAAGTTGAAATGACTGACATGTTCTCAAATTCAGAACTGCGAGCCTGGGTAAGCATAGGGAAAGACGTTACGTTATTATTGGTAGGCCACCGCTTCCTGTGATGATTATACAGTTGCAGCACGTCAAAGACTACCTTCACTCATAAAAAGCAGACTGCAGCTGTGGAGCGCGGTTGCTCTTTTCTCCAAACTTTGGAATGTCGAGATTGAAGTCGCCACGATATATCAACTTTATTCTCGAAATGGCGAGTTTAAAGTCGACAGGGCGAGTTTAAAGTCGACACGTAGAGATTAAACTCAACATGACATTTCAACTTTATTCTCGAAATGTTGAGTTTAATGTCGACATGTCGACTTTAAAGTTGACATGTTGAGTTTAATCTCGTCATGGCAAAAATATTTTTTCTCTTCATGTGTGGCCCTAATACTCCGTCGTAGCATAATGGACAGTTGTGACACTGCAACCCAGATTTGAGAAGATCTACAGCAGAAAGCAGGCTCACTACAGCCACTGAAAAGATGGGAGGATTAAAGTACAAAGAAAAAACTCTCAGGGAGCTGTTAAATGTTTTCACTCCATTTTGCACAGAGGCTTTTTTAATGTATAGATTATAGCAAAGTTAAATATTGTTACAAATAAAAAAAAAAAAAGAAATATGTTTAAAATAACACAGACAACAAAGAATCCTCTTCTAATCTACAGTATAGAACTACGAAAAAAATACTGTTACACAAAAGTGTTCCACTGTAAAGATGGTGTTTGTTTTGTTGCAACCTGAAGTGTGAAATAAACTTCAGTGGAGTTTGAAAACAAAATATGTGTATAGATTTATTATATCTGTTTTTTTTTTTTTTTTTTTTTTTTTTTTTTTTTTTTGGGGTCGGGGGGTTATGGGGGGGGCGTGGACATTTTATTGTAATCCAAAGGGGGGCCCGGAAGAAAATCTTTGGGAACCACTACCATAATCTATCTCAACATTTGAAAATAACCAAATAGGGATATTACTTATAGGTCTAGGTGAATTAAACTTCATATTTCCTATTCTATATTCTTCTGATTTATATTTTATTATCTACCCAAAACCTTTACCTTTAAGATAATTATAGTCCCAACACTCCTCTATAACACTTTTTGCTATATTTTCATTTCCACATCCCTGTAAAAGACACCAATATGTAACCATAAGCTGATCTTAAATCTAAAGGCATTTCTCCTAACTCTACCTGCATTGCTGTAGTTGCTGTTGTTCTCATAGCACCAGTACGATTTCTCATTGCTTTATTAATTACTCTTTCTATTTTCATTAAATTTGTTTTAGCTGCTGCTCCATATGTATAACACCTATAATCTATTGATCTCATTAACGCCTTATAAATATGCACCAATGATTGTTTAATTGCTCTCCCATCTTTTCCTGCTAATGCTCTCATGAGATTTATGATTTTCTTACATTTCGTCTCTATTTTTTCTATACGTGTTCTCCATCTTCCTTCTTGATCCAGCCATATACCCAAATGTTTAAAATGACTTACTGTCTCCATTTTGTGACCATACAATTCCAAATCCTGTTCATCTATCTTTTTCTTTTTCGTACATATCATATTACAAGATTTACTGTTAGAGAGCTTAAAGCCTCATTTATATGACCATTTTTCAATTTCAGCAATTGCCTCCTTGATTATATTTATTCTCTTGTCCAAATAGCCCCATCATCAGCATATAATGCTGATCAAACTCTTCTAATTTCATAAAACCATCATTAATTACTGCACTAATAGCACTTCCTTGTGGAATTCCATTATTTATCTCAAATTGTACTGAGAGTTAAGATCCTACTTTAACCCTAATTCTTCTTTCTGTTAGAAAATCTAGAATCCAATTATAAAATCTGCCTGCGATGTTAGGGCAATATGTCTATAATTTCCACAATTATTCAATATTTTTTACAGGCTTATTAAATGGCAATATTATCGCACTTTTCCACCTTTTTGGCATTTTACCTTCTTTCAAAATTTTATTAAATCATTGTAATATCATCTCAAACAATTTCTCTGGTAGTTTCTGAAACATCATATAACTTAAGTTATCTTCTCCTGTTGCGCTATTTCATTCATATTGATTTCTGCATCTAATGCATTTTCCTCACTTTCTTTGTAAATAAATATATCTCAACTAGTATATTCTCCATATTCTGTCAATGATTATTATCTAAATGGTTATAATTATAGAGATAACGAGAGAAAACAATTAGTTGTTAAGCCGTGATAACGAGATAGGTATATCGTTATCTCGAGAAAGTACAAAAAAAAAGTTGGGTATGACCGCTCTCGGCTTCCGTAGAATTTAGTTTAGAATTAATGTAGTATAATTTACTTTATAATATATGTTGCATAACTATAATGGATTATTCACTGTGACTGAGTTTTCAGATTTCCCACTTACTAATCGCTTTAGAATAAAAAATATTTTTTTATCAACCATTGATTTTCATTTAAATAAGGTCAGAGGTTGTTTATTTGAGACCAAGATATCTTGACAGGTGTTCTGCTTCTTCTTCTTCAATGGGCTCTATGCACAGCTCCACTACTTCCTGAATTTAAAGCAGCTCCTTTGTTTCCTGTCTTGCATGATTGGATGCACTGATTAATCCAGGTGTGTATGACCTAAGTAACTGGCCAGACACACCTGGATTAATCAGTTTGTCCAGTAATGAAAGACAGGAAACAAAGGAGCTGCTTTAAATTCAGGAAGTAGTGGAGCTGTGCATAGAGACAGAAGAAGAAGAAGGTTGAGTTGTTTGGTGGATGGTGGCTCAGACATGAGCAGGTCTCCGAGATCTCGGCGACGCGAAATGATTTGGGGGTCCTCGTCGGAAGAAGGAGACGATGACAATGACACTGATCCGAGTCAAAAGCCAGTTTGTGGGATCAAGATGGCGGCTCAAGTTGTAGAGGATGAGGAAGAGCTAGAAAGTGATTCGGATATGGATAGTTGGATGCCAGTTGGTAGTTACCGGAGAAATGGAAAATCCAAAAGTAGTGAAGCGGGCAGAACTTGTGAAAATTCAGGAATCAAAAGAAACCTTGAAGACGAAAGCACAGATGATGGAAGCAAGGGTGTACGTAAAAAAATCATGAAAGAAGAGGTGAAGATAATATTAAAATTCAGAAAGGAAGATGAAAATATTATTCTGAGCCCAGTAACAGTCTCTAAAGAGCTAAAAAAGAAAGTGGGGGAAGTTGAAATGGCTAAAACTCTGAGAGATGGAAACTTGCTAATCGTCTGTAAATCAGAAGAGCATAAAAGGAAAGCAATGAGTGTTGAAAGTATTGGAAAGAAAAGAGTGGAGAGTAAAAGAGTGTTGGGTGAAAAGAAAGATTCCCGAGGAGTTATTTACGGAATTCCGGTTAATGAAGATCTGGAGAGATTAAAGCATAACATCCATAATGTTGAAGTCATTGATATAAAGAGATTGCAGAAAACGGTGAACAATGAGAGAGTTGACAGCTTATCTGTGCTTCTGAAATTTGCTACTCCAGAAGTCCCAGAGAGAGTTAAAGTGGGTTTCATGTGCTATCCAGTCAGGCCTTATGTTCCTCCTCCACTTCGGTGTTACAAGTGTCAGATATATGGTCACATTGCTGCAGTGTGCAGGGGCAAACAGAGATGTTTTAAATGTGGAGGGGAGCACAAAATACAAGAATGTGGTGAAAATACTCAGGTTAAATGCTGTAATTGTGGTGGAGAGCACAGAGCAACATATGGAGGGTGTGAAGTTAGGAAGAAAGCAGTTGAGGTTCAAAAAGTGAAATCAACAAACAACCTAAGTTATGCTGAGGCATTAAAGAAGGTTCAGGAAAAGCAAAAGGAAACTGTGAGTAACATTCAAGAACTAAGGCGAGAACCAGAGCAGCTACCAGGGTTTATAACCCTGTTGACTTTGACAAACTTGTTTTGTTTGTGGCTTATGTTATTAACTGCACGGACCAGGTTAAACATAAAAATGAGAAAATCAAAATCATTGTTAAAGGAGCTGAAAAATTCTTGGGGATGAGGAATATGTCGTTGGATCAAGTTATACAAAAACTTGAGGCAGATGGCAATAAACCAAAGTAAGAGTGATATAAAAATTGATATGAGTAAAATAGAAGTTAAAAGTTTTTAAAAGAAAGATCCGAGAAGATTGGCAAAAACAGTGGGAAGAAGATTTAAAGGAAGATTACTTTTTCGTTATTTATTGGCTACAGGTTTAATGAAAAGAATTTAGGTTTTTTTTCCCCCTTTTTTTTTTTTTTTTTGAGCATGTCTGTCTTGATCCATACTCATTACTGGTTGGTGGCGGTAATGCACCTCTTAATTGTTTGCCAACCGCCATAAAACACGAAGAAGAAGCTGTGCATAGAGTCCATTGATTTGAATGGCGGTTGGCAAACAACATTTTGGTGCATTGTAGTCACCAACCATTAAGGAATTTGGACCAAGACTAACAAGCTAAAAAAAAAAATATATATATATATACTTTTAATTGACGTGTTAATTCACAGATGGATGGTTTAAGTAATCTGTAACTTCTGGGTCCCGTTCAGTGCACATGCGTGCCGAACAGCTGACTGCTGAATTAAAATGGCTTCCAGCGGCTGGTCTGAAAAAATCCTGCATCTGCTTCGACGAATGAACAACTTTTATTTAGCAGGTAGCTCGTTTTAACGCCGCACATCCGGTTCTTCAGCAATATTCAGCCGCCCGTCTCTAACGAGCTGTCTCCGCAGGTTCTGGTCGGTCCAGCTGCTTCAGGTTTGAGATAGACGGAGCCCAGGTTGGCTGGATTCCTCCTCATGTAGCCTCCCTGCTCACACCATACACTGATGTGTTCTCCCCACCACAAGAGGGCGCTGTGTCGCTCTGTTCCAGCCTGGGCTGCTATGATAGAAGGTCAGAGGCCGTGGATGAAGTTCTACAGAAGCTCAGACAGGAGAGCTCCCTAAGCTGCCTCAGAGGATGGAGGGATGAGGTCAGATTCTACACCTCGGTTCTATTATCAGTACTTATTTTAGTAGTGGTGTCTTCATGAAGCATCTTGAAGCGTTTCGACACATTGTTAAACTGCATTGATACTGTCTCGCAGAATACTGACACCTGCTGGGCATTTAAAGACACTACAGGCAGCTGATAGGACAGACTAAACTGAATTGATTTGATGCCCTAATACCAGGGTCGATTCAAGGATCAGAGGTTTAGGGGTTCTGAGCATCCAGAGAGCTGTCTGTCCTGCCATGATTCAATTCACTGTTTTCTACATAAACATTTTCTATATTTTTGAAACTTGCTCAGTGCCTTTTCCCAATTACTCACTCCATCATTCACTAATCCATCTTAAATGAAACTTTTGCCAAATACCCATAAAGGAAAGCACAAAGCAGTATTTGTTGTGGAAGAATATTTCAACCATTTGAACTAGTTCTCACAAAAGGCTCTTTTTTGTGTGCCAAGTAAGTGGGAACTACAACAGTCCTAACTGTTAAAGCTACAGTGTGTAATAATTACAGGGATATACAGTCAAAAATGTAATATATTATACATAACTATGTTATTTATCATCATCTACGAGCTCAGCCTCCTAACCTTAATATTTGCGTTACCTTAGAATTCGTTATTTATAATTACATAGGAGCGGGTCTTGCAGCCATGGAGGCAGACATCTTTGCGGTACGGCAGCGCAGAGCCAACAAACTAGCGATTGCGAGATCGCCCATTACGCTCGAAAGTAACTAAGGCAAGTTGAGAGAGATGAACTGAGACGGTACTGAAATCTATACCCTACACAGACTAATAAATACTATCTGTAAAATTATCTATGTAAACAAACCTCATCACTTGAGAATTTAAATTCTTGTCAGACCATTCAGATAACTTTTTATACAGTTCATCTTCAACGATGCATTTTTCTTCAATAAAACATGACTAAGTCTCACCTTTAAAGTGTCATACATCTGTTCTAATTCATTCACTTTGTCTTACTTTACTGATTCAGAATTGTGCCGATTGATTCTGGGCTCTTTTTAAACACAGTTTAGTGAGTCAATTAGAAACAACTCCCGATCGGTCACATGACTTTCTTGAAACGACAGCGTTTTGCCCTTTGGGCTGGATGCATGCACCGATGCATCAGTGTTTCTGGACCCATCACTATATTTTAGTTCTTTTGGAGTATTTACAGTTTTAGCTGATCCATCCACAGGCCCTGTTTCTCTGTGGACGATGACTCCTTCTTCCCAGGTTCTTCTTCACCCGTACACGTTTTTTCCTTTAAGTCTTGGGTTGATACACATTTCACACCAACACATTCGTTTCCAGGACACCAACCCATCTCCTTCTTGACTGCTTTGACAGCTGGATGTTCCCTTGCTTCCTATTCCCCATTTGATGTCTTTTAATTTAACACAGGGACGTCGAATCATCATTCTACCCAAAGATAAACCAGACATTTGGAGGTCTGCGATTCTACTGGAATCCTTTCCCATTTCTTGTGTTTTCGATGATGTCAGAAAAGGAAGCACTAATGTGTATTTATCCAAAAAAGCTTATGAAGCTACTGTATGATCAACTCATATAAATGCAACGTAATATTAGTATTTGTAAACTACTGTCCTCCTAAATCACCTTAAACAGAATCACTTTTATTTAAATTCTTGTCAGACGAGTCGGATAACTTTTTATACAGTTCATCTTCAACGATGCATTTTTCTTCAATAAAACATGACTAAGTCTCAATTTAAAGTGTCATACATCTGTTCTAATTCATTCACTTTGTGTTACTTTACTGATTCAGAATTGTGCAAGTTGATTCTGGGCTGTAGCATCACTTCCATGCATGCTTCAATAATCCAATCTGAGGCGGTCCTGTTTTTCAGAGGTACAGTGTGAAGCCCAGGTTCTCTGATCAGCCTCTGATGTGGATGGAAAGAGCAGCTACAAGTACGTTTTAACGTTTTAAGTCCAGAGCTGCGGAGTCTGTTGGTGTTTGATCTGACTTTGCTGTTACTCCAAAGGTCTTTTTGGTGTCAAGAGGTATGGAGTTCATATCAATGGATACACCATCAGTGACAGCGGGGAGATAAGCATGTGGCTAGCCCGGCGCTCTGCTACCAAGCAGACGTATCCTGGACTGCTGGACAACATGGTAGGTGCAGCAGGAGACTGGGAAACCATGTTGATCTTCATCACATTTTAAATGGAAACTGACACAATGGCCATTTAAAATAAAATACCCAAAACAAATGAATCAGATCTCTCAGATCCTAAAATTACTATTTCAGGCCAAAAATGTAAAAAATGTGGAATTAAATGATGGTGAAGATCACTTTGTCATGAAAGACAAATAACCTTTATAATAGCCTTAATAGCCATTTTGGGAAATTATTAAAAAGAATGCAAGCTTTCCATAATTATTTTTGAAACCATTTTGGTTGATCACAACCATTTTACAACAAATGGAAAATGGTTGTGATCAGACTCAGACCCATGGAGGAAATGTGCAGCTGTGCTGCTATATCATCCTCTGACATGGGAGCTTGCTCAGAGCTCGTCTGCCTGGCTGTGTGTTTCCTGGACTGGGCCGCCTTTTACAGCTGCCTTTTCTATTTCTGCTTCTCTCTCCTTGAACCCCAGTCTGCCTCGGCAGATGGCCGCTCACACTGAGCCTGGTTCTGCTGGAGGTTTCTCCCTGTTAAAAGGAAGTTTTTCCTCTCCACTGTCGCTACAAGTATGTGTAGTTAAAGGATTGCCTTCGAGTCAATGAGTCGATGCAATCAACTGTTTTTTCTTTAGATAGGAAACTTTGAATGCCTTGAGATGACGTGTTGTGAATTGGCGCTGTATTAAGAAACTGAATTGAATTGAATTTCCTGAAGTGTTGGCATCTCTCCTCAGGCGGCTGGAGGTCTGGCTGCTGATGCTGGAATCAAATACACTCTGATTAAAGAGTGTGAAGAGGAGGCATGCATCCCAGCAGACATAGCCATAAAGGCTCATCCCGTATCAACTGTGAGGTGAGCTGAATTCTGCTCATAATCCCTCAGTAGAGAAGTTGAAGGACAACAGGAGGTGTTACTTATCCCTGCTGGCCCACTCCTCATCTTCCCTTTGACTAATCGCATCTGTTCATCTAGTGGTCTGACTTTAGTGGATCTTTCGCTGTTATCTTATCTCATCTATTTATTTTCTACTTGCTGTAATTTAAGCATATTACCAGATTATACTATTTTCTGACACCTTGACTACCAGGAGGAGAACATCTGAGGTCTTTTGTATTATTATTAAAGTCCACCACAAAATCAAACATCTGAAGGAGGAGGATTTAGACTAGTGGAGATCTTTTAATGTTTTTATTAAAATTCCCTTCATATTCCTTAATGTTGATAGAAAAACAAACAGATTCTTCTACTGTTTCCAGCTGAAGCTGATTTAAAGAGGAAAAGTATGGTTATATTCAGAATTCAAACTTCTGAAAGTATTTTAAATATTACATTTGTTTCATACTGTTCAAAAAATGATAAGTGTTTTTAACTAAGAGTAATTTTCATTTGAATGTGCTTTACTGGAGGCATCCATGTTTGTCAAAGAACTCTACTGAGGGTGTGCAGGTGGAGCAGTGGATAGTGCGTTCGACCCGGGTTCGAATCTGGCCTGTTCTCCTTTGCCGCATGTCTCTACCTCTCTCTCATACCCCCTTTACTGTCAGCCTACTGTCAGAAAAACGCGCCACTAGTGCCATAAAAAAAAAAAACACTACTGCCACCCACTTGTTTGTGACGGTGCGGTATCGGCTGTTGATCAAGCCCCAGTGCTGCATCTGGTGTTTGTCACAATTCTTCTTCTGGCCGGAAGTTTGAGGGCAAATCCTCCCTCTTCAAGTTGGCAATTCAACGACGAACCCGTCCGTTGAGGATCAGGAATTGGAAAGGTGAAATAACAAATTTTTTTCTTAAATTTTTCCCGATGTATGCCATGCACGTGGGCATTGTCAGTTTCACTATAGCTCTGGTGAATTTCAGTGGTTAAGTCCTCTGGAAATCTTCAATAATTGTTGTTGATTGCAGATGTGTCTAGTAGTTCCCATTGATTTTGCTTGTAAAGCGGGGAGAATGGCGCTAGGCTTATCGCACCGTGACGTCACTGCCGGCAGATGGCAGGAGGGAGGGGTTACTATATTTGGGCAAAAATGGCCGCTCTCAGACTCTGTGATTATGTCGAAAATTTTTATTTTTAATTTTTTACTGATTAAGGCTAAATTAATTAGATCACCGTGAACGTATTTGTTTTAGATATAAATAATGATCCATTGATCACTCCTTGCTGACTGGACTTTTCCTTTAAAACCTTCACTCCTCATATGGATTTCACTATTTGATGCTTCACATTTTTTAACCTGGAAAACTATTCAAACAAGTTAATCTATTCATTTTATTTATTCAACATATTTGTGCTTGAATGTTATGTAAAAAAAAAAGTGATGGAAGCCTGGTTCCATAGGGAAGAGGACTTAAAAGACAAAAATCAAGAGCATGACTGAATTTGTTATCTTGAGGAATTTACTTTAGATCAAACAGGCAAATGTCTCCCTTTAACCACTGGCTCACGTTTGGCAGCTACACCTATGAAGATGAAGAGGGGGTGTTCCCAGAGAGCCAGTTTGTCTTTGACTTGGAGCTCCCTCTGGACTTCAAGCCACGCATAGGAGATGGAGAAGTTCAGGAATTCTACCTGCTGCCAATAGAAAAGGTTGGTTCTCAGACAGTCCTATGTTCTCAGAGGGATCTAGAGAATCTGCCTCAGAAAGCTTCATCCTGTTTCAGGTGAAGGAACTGCTAGCCACTGATGACTTCAAGCCCAACTCTGCCATGGTCGTCCTAGACTTCCTCATCCGACACTCGTTTGTTGAACCGGACACAGGTGTGTTGCTTTCTGCACCGTTTTCAGCTGATGACATGAATGACCAAGTCAAATATTTCATGCTAAATGATGCTTCTGTTTCAGAGCCATATTATCAAGAATTTGTAACAGGACTCCATCAAACCTTATAGACAAGAAACGCCACCTTGGTTTCCACTCGGTGGTGTGGATTCAGTAACCGGAGGCAGAGCGTCGAGGGCAGTGAATCAGATGAGGACAGGAACGGATCCTGACCATCTCAACACTGGGAGGGCTTCTGTATAAAGAGAGGACAGCATATCCTAACTGTCAAAGTTTAGCTTACTTCAATGAGCGATGCTCAGTGCTCACACATGTTCAGATCAAATGCAAAGGATGAATTGAAGTAGAAGGTTTTATGCATAAATTCATATCTCTGTTTAACTGCAAAATTTCTTACAAACTGCAAATGATGAAAAAAAGATGAGAAGGAACATTGAACCAATGAAACGCCTCTTAAAATGTTGAATTGTTTAAATGGTTTAAAAGTTGTTGGCTTTTTTTGAGTGAAATTACCTTTTCGTCTTTGGTAGAAGTTATTTAAAGGAATTCAGAATTCAAATTTCTGAAAGTACTTTAAATATGAAGTTATTACATACTGTTCAATAAATGATAAGCGTTTCTTTTTTTTTAAACTTTTTATTTATTATTTTTTCAATTTTACATTAAAACAAACAAACAAACTAAAAAATATGAACGGAGAAGGCGATAAAAATACAGCAAAGGTATAACAGAGTCCGAGTTTAGTGGATGTGGGGGTCACACAAGTCTTAAAAAAGGTTTATCTGTCGTTCAAGTCTTATTGAGGGTAAGTCCTTTCCGATTTGTGTAATCAAACCATTTCCTCCACTGTTCTTTCTGGTATTTGTACTTGATCCTGAGGTGGTAGGTCATTTCCTCCATTGTGAAGATTTCCTCTACTATTAAAATCCATTGCGTCAGGCATGGGGGGTCCCTTTTAAACCATTTTCTGGTAATCGCTTTTTTAGCTGCCACTATCAAGATTTTGAGAAGATAGATGTCTTTCCAGTGTATGATAAGCGTTTTTAATTAAGAGTAATTTAAGAGTAATTTTCATTTGAATGTGCTTTATTGGAGGCATCCATGTTTGTCAAAGAACACTACTGCCACCTACTGGTTTGTGACGTCACAGTGCGGTATCGGCTGTTGATCAAGTCCCAGTGCTGTATCTGGTGTTTGTCACAACGCGCTATTATCCAAGTCATCTTGAAAACATTCTTCTTCCAAATGTTGGCTACATATTACGTGTTTTTTCTCTGGCCAGAAGTTCGATGGTAAATCCTCCCTCTTTAAGTTGGCGATCCAACGACCAACCCGTCTGTGGAGGATCAGGAATCAGAAAGGTGAAATAAAAGCTTTTTTAAAAAATAACTACTTTGTTTTTCCACTTTTACCCGATGTATTCCAACATCTAGCTGCCATGCACGTGGGCATTGTCAGTTTCACTATAGCTCTGGTGAATTTCAATGGTGAAGTCCTCTGGAAATCTTCAATAATTGTTGTTGATTGCAGATGTGTCTAGTAGTTCCCATTGATTTTGTTTGTAAAGCGGGGAGAATGGCGCTAGGCTAACCGCACCGTGACGTCACTGCCAGAAGATGGCAGGAGGGAGGGGCTACTATATTTGGGCAAAAATTATTATTGTTCTCATTATTTTACTGATTAACACTAAATTAATGAAATCACTGTGAACGTATTAGTTTTATGATCCATTGATTATTCTCTGCTGACTGGACTATTCCTTTAAAAACCAAATGTTTAGATTATGTTGGAACTGTGTCATTTATATGGGAATATTTGATCTCAGGAAAATAATGAATAAATGTCTCCTGGAGACATTAACAGAAATCCAGACTGTGGTGTGAACATTTAACATCCAAAATAAACCGTTAGCTCACCTTTAAAACAAAAGCAAAGGTGATTACTTCTTGTTGTAACAATGCTTGTTGGTAATAAATCCCAAAGACTACAGGGTTCCTTTAAGAGGTGCCACTTTTGTGAAGGAAATGAATCGGACACGAAGGAGGACTTCATGTCTGATCCTCCATACTTCGGTTGGTTGGAGTCGAGATTGCGGGCAGGTCATCCTTCCTCTCCGTTCTGATGAGCCTTTTTCTTCAACAACATCATGGAGGAGAGTTAAAAAAAAGAAAGGCCTCTGATTGCAGATCCACTCAAGACTTTTCTGTTTTGAGATGGTCTCTGTCCTTTTTCACATGAAAATGGAGCAACATTCCAGTTTCCAGATGTGTAAATCTGGTAGAAAAATCACAGCTTTAACTGCTGTGAAAGTTGTTTTGTTTTCAGATATTAGCCTGGCTCATGCGGGATGGTGTGGATGGGTTTTCATGGAGGTCTGGATGTTTATGAAAGCTGAAATCTGAGGCATCTTTCTGCTTAGGGTTTGGAGTTTCTGACATAAACAGCTTCTTTCACTCCTCAAACTATCTGTCCAAGATTTAATACCTTAATCATATGGCACCTTTGTAATTTTCAGCGTGCTTTACATTCCTTAAATTTTACATAAAAGCAACACAAATATGTAAAAGCTAGTTCACCCAATTAGTATATTGTCTAATATTTACAGGTTTTAATCAGAGCTTTAATGAGGAGGGCTTTAGGGAACTTTATTATAAACTGGGAGTCCTGACCTATAAAGGACATGTTTCTTTCATCTCCACTCAAAACTTTAAAACCAACGAGTTGAAAGAAACTGATTGTCGATCATAAGAACGCAAGGAGGAGGTGCCTTCACCTGCAGAAAGTGGAATATTTCAACTGCTTTTCCACGAGTTCAGCAACACACAGAGGAAATGGTCCAATTCCACAATAAAATATCAGAAACATAAAAAATATCTAAAAATGATAAAAAAAAAAAAAAAAACGCTTTTTTAACCCTTTATGGGGAACTCTGGGAAATTTTTTGAAAATACAAATTTCAATCTAATATTGTTATTGGAATCCAGGACAAGACCTTATTAATTTGTAACATGGATATTTTGATGGTAAAATCAATGTAAATGTAATAAAAAGAAATGCCAACTTGCCTAAATATATTAAGAAAAAACAAAAGTGATTCTATGAGAAATACATGAAAAACAATCTGAGAGTGAAAGACACACATTTCTTTGGTACAACATAAGTAACATAACATACCTTAGAGGCAATAATGCTGATAGGGCAATTACATTTTTTTAGTTTACAAATCTAAATATAATTGTTGCCTAGGCTTATTAAATAACTTTTCTTGACTTAACTTTTTTTTCCAATTGAATTTACAGTAAATATATAATTCAAGGGCTCTCTAATTGATCAAATGCCAAAATAAGATGTACAGCCATGTAGCAGTTTCTTTGCTAAATGGCTGGATATAGATCTTGTGCTTCTAGACCTCACTGAGGGACAGTGGGACTCCATTTGTAAGGGCTATGCAAGTGATCAAAAATGGAAACTTGCCTTATAAATCAAAATTGTGCCCCCTAAAATAAGTATATTGCATCTAAATAAGAAAATGGAGCTTAAAAAAAAATCTTATTTAACTGCTAAAGTCTTATTCATATGAGTATTTTTCTTACCTACTGAAATAAGTTGCAAATATCACCTTTTCAGGAACATTTTACTTTAAGTTATTTTTTTGCTCGGTAAAATGCAGATAGGAATTGTGACAATGTAAGATTTTTAAATGTTACAAACAAAAGTAAACCTCCCTAATCATTCTGTTGTTTAAACGTTAATCGCAGCAGAGGAGGAAAGGTTCATATCAGATAACCCCCCCACATCTGTTCAGCATTTTTTCATGAATCACTCTTCTAAACAAATAAACTGACATAGAACCAGTCGACGTCTCCTGCCTGAAGGAAGCAGATCCTACTCATGGTAGAGAACACAGGTTGACTCAGACAGGAAGCTGGTCCTTGCCTTTACGCCATTTTTTAGAAGACAGCTCTGTGCTACACTCCACTTGATATTACATTATTAAAATAGCATAAGACAATGAACAACAGTATATTTCTCTGTAGACTTTATTACCTTTAAAATACATTAAAAATTGCAGACGTTTCAAGAAAGGTTTGTGTATAAAGGAATAATTGTCTTACAAATCCTTGAGGAGCTGTGTGCATTTCAGAATTCACCATCAAATGTTTCCAGAATGAACACGACACTGACCTAAAGTTTGATAAAATACAAGCCAAGCCAGTAGAATATCACATAAGGTAACAGAAAACACACAAGAAGGTGAGTTAGCTTGCAGACAGGAAAGGCGTTACGTTCAAATCAGCGATGATTTCAAATAAACAGAGAACTACAGTACATAGATGTGTCTCAGTGCCTCAGTATAATGGATCGCTTAACAGCAGGACATATGACTCCGCAGACATGTTGACTTATTTTCTGTTTACTAGTTTTTTAGGGTTTTCTTCCAGCAAAGAAAATGAAAAGCCCAACATGAACCTGACTGTAAGGAAAAAGCTGAGAACAGTTTCTGCAGGAAGACTGTAGAGACACATTTTACCGAAAACACTGAAACATCAGCTCAACATGGAACATGGAGACCTCCATTTTACCAACATCTGGCACTCCTTCCCACAATTAAAAACCTTAGGAATCTTCTCCTTTAATATTCAATTTTACTTTTCAAGCAAAATAAACACGTTAATATGAGTTAGATGACATCTGCTTTACTACAGATGTGTTTAAATGCAGAAAAAGCTGAGAAATATTGAAAAGCTGTCACTACACAGTTCAGAGTATGTGCTTAGTTTTGCTGTATTCATTATTTCCCCTTTTTATGGAAATATACACACATAAATATCTCAGTAACAATCAAAGGGTATGTGTGACTCACAAATGATTTCACATGGTTGTTTTTTCCCTAATCTTAGACTGTGCCACATATTGGCTGCTTTTGTGGAAAATTCTAGTAAGAATCAAATTCTGGTAGAAAAAATTAACCTGAAATTTGCACTAAACTAAATAAGATTTTGGGTGAAAGATGCTGAACTGATCAAAGGGCTTTAATCCAGATTCTTTAAAATTCCCTAAGCAGCCACCCTTTCTGTAATCTCTAACATGGATTTGATCAATAGTAATCCAGATTTTCTACTTTTCCTGGCAAAGATTTTTGTTTTCTTCAGAGATCCTGTTGGATCAGGACATTTATTAAACATCTATAACATAAATCATCTCATACTCTGCAGTCTACAAGAGTAGAAACATATATTTTGTAACTGCGTAGCCAGAATAATTTCCACCTATTTAACAGACTCAAACTTAAAGCCTGAATTCAGACCATCAAATACAGCTTCATACTAGACGAGCTGCGGTCCAGATAAAAAAACCTGCAGTAGGAATAATATGAAATGAAGCCATTAGATCAGGTGTGGGTGTAATGTTGACCTTCTTTTTTGATGCTTTAATTCGTAATAAGATTCATTAATTTTTAATGAATCCTTATGTTTAAGATATTAGCTTATATCTAAATATATAACATTAAATGTCTAATTCTCCCTTTTTCTTGGTTAATTTTCCCTTTGGCTGTCATTGAAATATGTTTTACTCATTGCAGTTACACAGAATTGAAATTTAGCCTGCTGTGATGAAAAAGCGGACCCAGAAGGAATGCCTGGCCTTTCCGTTCCCACCATGAACTCCAATGGCTGCCCTATAGCAGAGTGCAGCCGCTCTTCCTGCCTCTTCTCTTGGCCTGCAGCGCCGCTCTGGTGGCCATCTCAAAAACCTCCCTCACACCATCTTTTGTCTTGGCTGAGCATTCCAGGTAACCGAAAGCATTGATCCGGTTAGCCATGTCCCTTCCCTCCTCTGACTTCACCGGTTCCTGATTGGACAAAACATGAAGAAAAACAAAATTAGATTCAATTAGGAACTCAGTAAAAATAATCACCCAGTATGTTATGCGTATTCCTACATGATGAACAATAAAAAGATGAATCTGGGTTCCCCTTTGTACAAAGCAGAGCTTAACCATCGTTAGAGCAAGACCCAACAAGTGAGAGATATACAAGATAGTACCACAGTAAAAAAATAATGAGGCTGCTTTATCCCTTTCAATCTTTTCTTAACAAAAAATGGAAAATAAAACATAGATTTGAATAATAAAACAAATATATGTGCGAAGAAACATCAGTAATTACTAATGACTATCTGGGGTATTACTGCCAGTATTGAAGGAGGAAATCAAGCAGTTGGTGGCGGTAATGCACCAAAAGTTGTTTGCCAACCGCCATAAAACACAAGAAGAAGAAGACGGAGGAGGGAATCAAGCAAATCAAAATGTTGCGTGGAGAAGATTTCGATTGTTTTTTATAGTTGTTGTTGATCTTCTTTTTTGTGTTGGTTGGCAAGCAACTTCCGGAGGGGCATTACCGCCAACTACTGGAGTGGAGAGTGAATCGGGATGTTCAGCCAGACGGAGATGACGAGTTCTGCTCATGCGCTCTAGTTGTCAGAGAACCGAGCCAGGGAAAAACCAAGCCGAGCCCACCTCTGGAACTGGTCTGCAGTTAGCTTGGTTCGGTTGTGTCTATCTCGGTTCAGTTCAGTTTGCTTTCCATGATAAGTCATCTCAGTTACTGAGCACGTACCGGTCTCGGCACGGTTTTTCAAGGTTAG